TTTAATAAACTGATATCCCACTGCTCGCCCTAGAACATCACTTTTGAGAGGAAGCATTTTACATCATCCTCATATGTTGTTTTATGTTGGTGCCCCCAGATACCATGAAGCATGGAGAGCTAAAATGAAAATGTAAAGTGCTTCCAGCATGAAGCTGCTCTTTTGTGTAATTATGCCTGCTGCTAATAAGCCTTCCATTACAGCCATGGCACAGGTTTTGCTAATCCATTACAAATGATTGGTTGGAATTTAAAACACTGCTGCAAGCATACCACTTTTCACACTGAGCTCACATTGTCAGATTTCAAACACTTTCCCCCTCCATAAGTGACAAGGTTGCGCCATGCAACAACAGCTTTTACCTAAGGGAAGTGTTGAACTTATCACTTGAACCCTCCCTTGGGATTCACCTGAAAAGTATTTAACTGAAAATAACGAGACTGGCTCTGACCATTTCTGGTGTCAGTGTGAACACCAAACTCAGACATCAGGTTCTAAAAATGTGCTTTGCTGCATAAATCCTGCCACTGATCAGCATTGTCTGTGGTGTGACAGCTTGCCTGAACAGGTGAACTCATAGGTAATTCACGCTGAAATTTCTGACAAATCTCCTATTCTAAAAGCTCTAAAAGAAACTTTCATAAAAACTAAGAACATATCCAGTACCTTGAATTGTACTCCAAGATGCCTGATTTGTTCTTATGTATTAGACATAACATTTATATTTTTGAAGTGCCACTCTATTTAAACCTTGACCAGTCACAGACCTGTTACCCATAGAGCACTCACTTCCAAAGCTGCATTCAAACATACACTGCAGTTAGTTAGCTGACAGCCTGCAAGCCTAAAGAGAGGGGAGATTTCAGGAGTTCTCAGACAATTCTTGGTTTTTTTTAAAGCCAAATAAGCATTAAGTAAACAGGTGTACAGGTGTCTACATGTGAGCCACAGTCTGCATGTCTGTTGATGTCAGTGGAGCTTAGACATCCAAGCACCTCCCCTAACAATAGACATGTTCCCACCAGCCCATGGAATCACACCTTTGCACCCCTGGCTGTAAGGAGCTGATGTGCATTCAGTTTATGTGCATTCAGTTCATTCAGACGTTTGCTCATACATCTCTGCTGCCCTCCCAACAGCACCACGGCATCCTGCACAACCTGCCCTGGCAGCTGCAGGAGTATCTCCCAGGCTTGCACCAAATCCAGACCAGCCCTGGGTAGCTGTCCCAGACAGCAACACCCCAAGCAGCACCCTGCACCTGGGAATACTGAGCAGAGCACACTGCCTAAAAATGTACTCAGAGTTTAGCAGCAGTGCTGAGTTCCAGCTCTTCTGTACACCTGTGCATTTGAAGGCTGTAACTTTAAACAGCAATTCTGCAGCTGATGAACTGAGGGAGAGCAATTGGTTCTTCTTCCTTGAACATTACCTTAAAAAATAATCCAACAAAATACAGCAAAAACCTCCACTAGAAATCATCTAGTTCACTCTTCTCCACTGGAATTGTTCTCTTTACCACTATCCCTACCTTGCAGTGCTTTAAGAAGCAGCTAATTAATGAAATAGGGAAAAAAAAAACAAAAAGAACCCAAGAGGATGTCTCAGATTCAGTTGCACATCACATTTCCATGATGCCAGGTGGGGAGAAAGAGCCAAGATTAAGACAACGTTATCTTACATCATAATTTTAGCATCATTTAGCAAAACCCTATATACAAGATTACAGTAATGAAAAGGGCTTTTTAATGTGCAAGGTGCACTTCCACACTGCCATCTTGTGTCAATAACCAGGTTTGCTGAACTTGAGAACCAAACATGCTACAAATACTTCAGCAATGATCAAAACAGGCCAATAACATTCATTAGGTGGGTTCCTCTGCCTGTTCCCTCCAGGGGAAGGAGGGGACAAAGGAATTTTTGTTACTCACATTTGCCAATGTGAATTAACAAATACAGATTTGAAGGAGCCTTGTTTAAACCAGGATTTTATCACGGGTGGAAACTCAGCTTCAACTCTTCGAGAGTTTCAATTTCAGCTCTTTGAGGCCCACTAAATTTGAAATCCCACCCATTTGTACACAAGGAAGCTAATGAAATAACCCAGCCTTTTTGCACACATTTTGTGGGAAAATGAAACTGGAACCCGCATGGAAATACTTGACACCATGTAGGAGAAGCCAGCCAGGCTCAGAGCATACGACTGCAGGCTGTGGGACATGAGTCAGGCAGCATTGCAGACCACAGGCTGCTAAATTTTCTTTCTTTGTTTCCATTTTTCACCACCAGCCAACTTCCATGCACAAATGATTCCCATGAACAGGGAAACATTACACGATGCAAAAAACAAGCATCACAATCCCTAAAAGATGCAAAAGACAGCATCACCATCCCTAAATTTTCTCACAATTTTCCTGCACAACACAGTCCTGGGAGAGGGGGAGTCATGGACAGGCTAAGATCAATTTGTTGATTAGAGGCTGAGAAACTTTGACTTGTGACCAAAAAATAAAGAGTGTCTCAGTGTATTTCAGGGCTGGTAGTGGAGACTGTAGATATCTGGAATTTGGGGGCCAGGAGGACGGTGGCTCATTGGTTCATTATTGTAGATGCTGTCTACAATAAATGAAGTCTGAAAACTACCATGTAGAGGGCCATCACACCATATTCACCAAGGTATGTGCCCTTAAGAGAAAGCCAGATCTGTACAGTACCTATATCAGATACTGAATAGCTTTCACAGAAGCAAGCTTCTTCCACAAGCAGCAGAGAGGACTCCAGAGAGCTGTGTGAGCAGGCAGTGTGTCTACAGTCTGTACTTGACGAGCAGGGGCTTCACATTGCAGTGCTGTCATCTGTGGTCTATCATGTCATTACTTACCACAACAGTAAAAACCAAATTAAACACTTTACCAGTCTTTAACTGAATAACAAAAACCAGAGTCAAGTTTGGCAGATAATACATTTGAGATTTTTATGATGATTTTTTAAGGCAAAAAGTAAAACTAATGTTTAGCACTTCGTAAGTCTGCAAGGAGCATTCAGTTACAAGCAGGAGAAATCAGAAGAGCACAGGTGAAGTTCTCCCACTATGCCAAAAGAGCACAATCTTCCCCCCTTGTTGCCCCCAGCTATCACAGCCACAACCTCTCTTCCCAATCTGTGAGCTCTCCTACACACCACACCCCCAAAATCCCCTGAGAGCAAGGAGCACCCTAAGCTGCTTTGCAGCCTCACTGCAGCTCTTCATGGTGCCATATACAAGCTCACACTCAAGAGCTCTCCTACACCTGCCAGCTTCCTCTTCCTCAGTTTTACTCACAAAATGCTCCCCCAAATTCCTCTGATCTACCCCTGTTGTGGTGTGATGTATAAATTCCAATATACTTCCTATGTTTTTTCACTGCCTCCAAGGATATGGACACAGGAGGGTACACAACCAGGCATGAAAGGATTTGGGGAAGCCACTGACCAGAACAATTTGAAAGTCACCACTGAGACATAGAGCACATTCCAGCTGTGTTTTCAAGAGGAGCAGAACCTAACCCAAAAATATTTTTGGCACTTTATTTCTAGCAATAGCAGAGAAATTTTGAGGAACATCCACGTCTTTCAATTTTTTTCAGGGATGGGTGTATAGTCTCACCACTGGTACTGAATACTCAAGGGAAAGAGCATGAGGAGCTTGATGAAAAAGCTGTACACAGACTTGGACATTGACTACAAAGGAAGAGAGAAAAGAAAGAACTATTGTTCTTGCATATATTTATGTGAACAACTTAATCCTGTCAGAACAAATATTTTTCCCAAGATGAAAATCAAACAATTGTATATTTCCACACACTACCTTAGACATGTTTAGCTGAACAGAAAGGACAAAAACTTCTAATAAATGCAACATTCGATTTTTTATTTACAAATATATGGTAATTCAACAACCATTCTCCACTCAGTTTGCAGAGGAAAGAGTGATAGTTACATTTCCAAACAGGAAAAGAAAACTCTCTCTCTTAAATGGATTCCACAGAATATTATGCCAACACCACTGAGCAAATTCCGAGATTATTCTCTGTATTTAGGTTCCAAAAAAGCACATAATTTTAGAAACCAGCATATGGAAAGCAAACACATTTGTGTGCATTTAAATGCAGCTTCATATTAACCTAGAGAATTCACTTTCAGTATATGTCAAAAATAAAGACAGCAATTGCAAATATATATTTATATTAGCTATTTCTCTAATGCTCATTTCAAGAGCTTAGAAACAAAATACCCTCTTCATATACCATTGGAAAGTCAACTAGTTGATTATAAGCCTCAAAAATATTTTGAAGTTATTACTGAAAATATACTTATTCTCTCTTGTGCTCTCAGTACTTGAAGCTGAAAATGTGAAAGCATTTTTCCCAGCTATTTCCTTACTGCAATTACTTTCTTATAAATAAAAATAGTTACATGAAGAATACAAGGTATTGCTATGAAGACTAGACAAGCAAGAGTTACTCTTAGAAAAAACCACACATACACACAATATATATATTTATAGATCTACATCAGCAGCAATCACCTCTTCTTGTATCTGCAACAGTGGTTTCATATCTTCATTTGCTTCACATGCAGGTTGGTTGTCCAGCTGTTAGGGAGAGACAAAATAAACTGTAAGTAAAGTCTAGTTACTGAAAAACTTTTGTGTCAACAATTAACATTTTAAAGTTTAAAACAGTCACTTAATAGTCAAAAAAAACATTTTAAAGTTTCAAAGACTTATTGAAAATGGTAACATACTAATGTATACATTTGGAATCAAGCAATCCAAATTTAATGAACAATACAAATTTGAGTTGAATCCAATTATAGCACTGCAAGTATTTCAGGCCAAGTCATATTCCACAGAACATGCACTTTACCAAATTATCAAGAATTATTTTTAACTTACTTTATTTATTTTTAGTATTAGTACAGAGTGATAGTTTCTCTAAATTTACCTTTTAATAATGAAATAAAAATTTGCTAAATTACTGTAATAATATAAAGAACTTTTTTATCCTCTCTGCATACCTTTGTAGGTACTTGCCAATACAGTGTTTCACTAGAACGTTCCAAGTTTAAACCACAGAATTAACACAAAAATGTGCGAAAATATCACATAAAATTACATTAAATTGCAAAGTGAGTATTAATAACCCTACAGTTTATCAAACCTTTTAGCCAACATGCTCACATTTCAAACTAGCAAATAATTAGCCAGGTTGATGTCAAATGCCAACTGCAAAAAACAGGAATTCACATCACAGGGCAGTGCTATGCTGCCAAATACATTTGCACTGCAGTAATTGCATAGCTGGGTTTTGTATTATTCAAATAGCTGATTTCAGTGACTAATCACTAATTTGAATACTGTGTTCTGTACCTATAAATTTTTACAACTCCTGATTTTACTTGTATCTCATAGAATAATGTTTTGAGGTGCCCACTGGCCCAGGTAGATGCAGTCTGAAGGGAAGGGAATACAAACATTTCCTCACAGATCAGCTCTGCTTCTGAAAGGCACTGCTGTGACTTGATGGGCTGTAATGTCAAAGGGAGACTAAACAGCAATTCATCCACAATAAAACTACTTATCCAACTCATCCAGCAATATTTCCCCCCAAAAGAAAAGACAGAAAAAAATAATGTGAGCACACTCCACAGTGAGTCTCTCTCACATATGTGTGCTTCAAATAGGAACACAGTCAGTTCAGGGTAGTCTTGTCATCAACAAGGAGATACATTCTCCAAACTTTAAATTAGACATGGTATGACCCAGTGCCCTGGATCACCTCCAGATGGAAGGTAGTGATTCTCTTCCTCCTTCCACTGATCACATCAGCCTCTGTGAATGCGCTACTACCCTCACGAGGTGTTGCGCTTTCTGGTTTTAGCTCGGGTACCACATCATCATTTCTGTGACTTCCCTTCATGGAAGTCAAAAAGAGCCTCCAAACAGCAATGGCATCAGATGCAGAGCTTCTCTTTACCTGAGCTAGGTTCCACAGCCAGCAGCTGCCCAGTTCCTGCTCAAACACTGTAGCATGAATATCCTGTTCCCTTCACTGCCTTCCAATCCACCATGAGAAAAATGTGCCGGGCTCATAAAGAAACACTGACATTTTTCCAGGAAGTAATTCAGAAAATATTTCCCTCCCCTGATTTTTATCATCCTATAGAATTCCACATTTGCTACATTAAAAAAGAGCCATATAAAACTCCTGACACTTATCAAAATTAGTAAGTTGTCTACCATCATCTATGACAGCAGAAAAGAAGACCTAAAAACCACTACAAAAAGCCTTAACATCATGCTCCAGTAAATCAGAATTCTGCAAACCATAAGAAGGAAAAAAATTATACTGCACCTTTTAATTAAGATCTGTAAGTAAATCAATTCCTCCTGAACTTGTACCTAAACGAATAACCAATTACAGACCTATAATTCCAATAATAATAGCATTACAAAAAGAAACCAGCATTTGTGCCACCTGCACAAGATAAACTAATTGCTTTCCACATATGTATTAGGACTGAATTAAATACATATTTCAGCTTACTTTTTAAGAAAATGTAGACACTTTTTCAAAAGGCTTCTCTGTTATCAAGACAAGCCTGTTTAGCACCTGACAGCTCCTTGACACCACTTTCTTAGATCTATAAAGGAAGGAAGATGACTATACCATGCTGTCTGCTTGAAACTGCGTAATAACAACTTGGTAATATCAGCTACCAGTGAGTTAGAAATTAGGAATGACTACCCTACAAAAGACAGAAACTGGCAATCAAACCTTGCTGAACCTATTTGCTAATTTAAAGCTAAACATGAAAGCTATCAAGTGGCTCAGCTGTGCAAACACTTGAGGTTGTACAGCACAGAGAAGAGCTACAGTCATGCACACTGCAGTTGGATTGCCTTACTTTTAAATCTGATATAGCAGTCGTTGCAGAAGAGTTTGTTGTTTCGGATCCTGACTTCAGCTCCAGAGCGGGATCCACCAAGGTCGCATCCACAGGCAACACACTGTATCACACAGGAATAATTAGCAACTCCTTCCAAAATACTATGAAACAAAAATGCTGTTCAAAAGCAGCTCAGATTAAGCTCAACAAAGCCTGAACCATAACCCCACAATCACTAGAAGCAAATGTACAATGATTAGTAGATCAAAATGCAACCAACCCTGAGGAAGTATTTTAAGGCGACGACTGGACAATGAATAGCAGACCAGAAATGCTACACCAAGTAAGCAAACATAAAGCAGACGGTTTTTAGAGATTAGGTCACTTAATCTAATTTGAACTTTTGTTTCTCTGAAAACTAAAACTGGTTTGGCACAAAGAAAAATTTGTTCTCTAGATGGCAACAGGAATTTTGGCACAGAACACCTGGGTGTGCTACTTGCAGATTTCCATGTGGCACTACATGCTGCTGGTGTCCTCAGTCCCTTGGCACTCAAAGCAGAAAATACTCAGGCACTCCCAATTTCCTGGGATTGCATCACTGAAACAAGTTCTGATTTGGAGAGATGGGGCTGATTTAATTTTTCTTGCATAAACACATAAGGGGCTTGACCACTGCCATGCTACCATTAAACTATTTAGCTATGGTAGCCTGAACATGTACTTGTTGTGAATATGGACCACATCTGGAAGGAATGTAATCCAAAACATAATACTCCCCTTACTGAATTTATGAAGGACAGATACTTTCCCTGCTTAACCAAGTAATGAATCTTGTAAATGGCAGTCTTTTCAACAGCTCATTAATTTTCAGAAATTTGAGAACCAGAAACTTGGCATTTTGTTATGTAGGTTATGAGCTACAGGTGGATGGTCTCACACAGAATACATGTCCTGCAGAAAAGGGGATGGCAAATGATCACTATGGATTAGTGCTGTCTCTCCTGCTCAGGGAGGCAGAACCAGGAAGGGCTTGGAGTCAATCCCTAGTAAGACTCCAGGTGATGCACTTGAGCTGGGCATGGAAGACAACTGTTCTGAACTACACAAAGAAATATCTTTCTTGAAGTCAGGGAAGAAGCAGCATTCAACAGCATCTCCAAGTCACAGTCTAATTCCACATCTGGTCCGAGGGCAAGGGAATGGGACTGCTTTGCTGTCTTTTGCAGGCAAATATTTATTCTTTCAGCTCTGCAAATGCCCCAAGCTGATTGGAAATCATGTTAGTAGGTCTAGGTCTCAGTACTGGGCATAAGCTAGTACACTTAGTTGGTGACTAGGGCTGAGTAGCATTAAACACACCTTTTGCTTTTTTTCTGGGCTTTATCCTGCCAGTTTGAACTCTTCCAACCTGCCTTTAATTGGAAAACACCACATGAACACACTGTCTGCTAAGGTTAGCTTAGAAAGGATGGGTCATCTTAAATTATTTAATTGCCAGGGTCCAGGTTGAGATTTTTTTTTTAGAGGAGCTGCTTTCTCTGGGAGAAGTGGTTCAGCATTTTCCAATATTTTGCCACCTATTCGAAGAACGAAATCTTCGATCTCACAATCCATGTGCTCATCTTGCTTTCCAAAGTCCTACTTGTTAGCTCTGGAATTTAGGAAACACCTCTAGAGTAGAGTGCTAAATGCCTGCAAATGGGACTGCCTCATGGAAATATGCATGCACCAGGCTGTCAAGAGTAGAAGGCAAAGCAGATGATTAGTAAGAACCCCTGTGAGCATAACACTGAGTAGCCATGCGTGCTCCTGATTAGTTCCTGTTCCTTCACGATGTGACTCCCAGCTCTCACCTTAAAGCAATGTAAATGATAACAAAGACCAAGAGACTCAATGATCATGGCTGCTCCTTTGCCCAGAATGTTATTACAGTATGAACAGATTTTCTTCCCACTGACTGACCTAAATATAGAACGGAAAACCTTAAAACCAGCTTGAAAATGTTTAAAAGACAAAGAAGAGTTATAAAATACTTTTTGAGATTAAAAATAAAAAACATATGGGTAAAAACTGGACTATTAGGCTGCTTGGAGAAAGTAAACTGAAAATTAATATTATTTAGAGTAGATCTGAAAGACATGGAAAGCTGAAGTGTTATAATTTACATCAAATTTAAATAGGAAAAAGTTAAGAAATTCTGTGACATTCTTGGCACATATCTCATTGTATAAAATAGCTTCTACAAATAAAAAGTGTACTGTAAAGTTCAGAGAGTAAGAACAAAGGTTTTGTGCTCCTGCCTTCTTAGCTGTGGGGATCTATGCAGAAGGCTAAGTTTTAGCAAGCACGCGTTCCAAGTCCCACCATCTGCACCTTGTTAGATAAAAGAAGGCTAGCCCTAGACATAAAATATTATGTTAACTCTTTGAACATAAACCATATGAAGGTCACTTTCCATAGATCTACCAAAGTGTTACCAAATGGAAGTGAGAACAAATTAGCAAATATGGTTAAGAAGGTAATTTTCTTACATCATAAAGGATATAAAAGATTAGCTTAAAAAAAAAATGCGGTCAATTTATCAATAATGCCTGAGAGTGTAAGAGCTAGTGAAGTAGTGTTCACTGTTGTTATTTATAACACATGTAATTCTGTGTGGGATGATTCTCTGGAGTACTATCCCAAGGTATTTTTAAAATGCTTTAAGTACATAAAACAGCAGAGTTATCTACCCTACCACAGTTGAATTCCATTTTTGTTTCAAAATATGTTGCAATTCTTGCTTTCTCCTCCTAGATTAAAATCAACATCCTACTCTGTAATTCTCCAGGGTCATGGGTTATGAGCATTCCTGAGTGCTCCTCAAGATGATATTGACCACATGCCAGGAAGTGAGGAGGAGAGACCAAGATGAGGGTCATAAAGCGTGGGTTTCAGGAATCTTTTGTTAAAACAAACCATGGAAAATAAATGTCAGAAATGCCATCTGGAACAGGCTTTTGCTAATCATTTTGGTAACCAACACACAGCTTGGAGACTGCAGATTGATTATTCAAATTCCTTTGTTTTTTTAACCAATGTCAAGCAGTGATGACAAATCTGGGGAATTTTCTGAGTGATCGGAGCAGGGAGGTAATACCAGTCCGTACTTCCACTGTCCCCTCCAGCTAGAAAACTCCAGGTACTTGTTAATCAATGCTTTGGGCAAGAATAACACATATGCTGTAAGTCCAGCACATACACAAGGTCTGCCCCTCAGTGCTGTCCAACATTTTTATCTTCCCAGTAGAAGGGCACCCACTCACCTGCTGCGTGTCTGGGACCCTGACTGGGAAGCAGAGAGGGGAGACTGAGCCCTGGGAGCTGTCTGGGATGTGGAGGGGGCTCTTGCAGAGGTGGCCACAGGAGGTGCTTTGCTGGAGGAAGGAGTGCACATGTAGGCTCGGTTTGAGGTGGACACCGGGCGACTAGAATCTTGACTAGAAGATAGAGATAAAGAGGATGCAGACTGGTTCAGCCGTGAGTGGTGCCTCCATGACCTCATTCCTGAAGAATCAAGATTGTCCAAAGACTCCCCTCTGTAACAGAGATACAAGCACCACAAATGTAAATGGCAGTATGGATGGAGCAACAGAGCTATATCCTGACTTTTTTAAGAGAAAGCCATTAATCTTGCATTTTTAATATTTTCTGGTATTAATATGTTTGTTTGATCACCCTTGAGAGAATATTGAGCAATATTCTTCCTGCACAGATTTAAAATGTATGGGTAGGAAATTATCCTTTGTGTCCAGGCATAGTTCTCGTGGTAAAAAACGGGCGAGGCAAAAACAAAACACTTCACTGCAGCCTTATCAGGGAGAGCTGTATCAAAATCCACAGTGCAGAAACAGACCTCAGATACCAGCTTTGTTTATGTTTTCTCCAAGGGATACCAGATCGAAAATAACAATCCACCCAGACTGGATAGCATCACCCAGGTACAAGGTGTTGGCCCAATAATCAAACACTCTCCTGACTGATAACTTGGCTGTTTCCTAAGTGACAAATCCAACACTCATACATTAAATAAAGCAAAAAAACCTATCCAAACTTTATTACATATTTCTGTGTTGAAAAACGCATACTTCTTCACCACAAGAATTCATTTCCAAAACAGGTTGCCATGCTGAAATTCTTAAATGCATCTGTCAATGACAAGGCACATCACTGATTTCCATTGCTGCTGTACCAACCAAGAAATAAGCAGCCGAGTTACTAACAGGTCACATCCACATTCCTTACTTGCAAAAAATCCCATTCAATCCCAGCTGTAATACAGATACCTTCTTCTATCTGTGCTGCTATGCTGTCATTTCACAGACTCAATTTGTTTCTAGGCTCTGTAATACAAGCTAAAGTTCAGAATAACCAAAGCAAAATGTATGATGAGAGACAGAGTTAATTTTTAATGTGATTCCTACCTCCTCATACTACTGCTGTACAGACTAATGGGCTCCTTATGTATACTGGCACTGCGCTGCCTAATCCAGCTGCTGTCCGTGTGTAGAGATGTTTTCTTTCTCATTTCCTGAAGGATTTGCTGTCTCTCCAGCTCTGCTGCAGACAGGTTTTGCTCCTTCTGAGGTTTCTTCTGCGACTCACCCATGTTCCAGGACCTCTCTGAATACTTGCTCTGGGTACCTGTACAGGCAACATGTGCAAACATCAGCCAGACACCTCAGGGCACAGAAGCAGTTATGGTCCTGTCAGCACTCTGGCTGTAATTCCAAGAGCTATTGTTCATCACTCCATTCACAAGTTATTCCAGTTCCCTTTTACAGCCGAGTAAAACTTACCAATACAGCATTACTGAAATTTTTTTGTTTATATTTCCATTAACGTAGCCTTTTACATAATGCTTAATTTAAATACATTCTCCTTCACTTCCTAAGTGTATATGCATTGACATTTGTACTCTTTTTAAAAGGGTATCACCTCTTTTAGAGCCATAATTTAGACTCTTCCTCCAATACAAACTGAACCATATGTAAAATGCCTAGTTAAATGACAGGATGCATTCTTTCTCTTTAAAAGTTCGTACTCTTTTCTTCTGTAAGTTGTCTCTGTTTACAAGAATTTCTTTCTTTCTTTCTTCAAAGCACTAAAAACACTGCTTTATATTGTTTTATATAGATACAAAGGGGACAGGTAAATCTTTCAGTTAATTGGATTATGTGTTAACTACTCAGTTGAAATGAAATTAATGGTATAGATGGTCTTTGAGAATTTGGAAGGGGAAACAAAGAAGCAATCTTTCTTCAATAGGCGTTGACATATCAGAAGGCAACAATTGTTTATTTCCTAGATCCAGTACATATTCTTCATAGTAAAAAAACAATTAAGAAAATTACTCAGCAGTAAGTCATCCAATTGAAATTTCAATCCTTTTAAATGCTGCTCTGACGGTAGATTACCTCTTGGATTTATTGGTACAGATTATCATTGTAAAATACTGTGGAAGTTTACTTTCTCTTTAGTTTCAATGACAGTGCTTTAATGTATGAAAGCAACATTTTTAATCTGCAATATATCCCGTAATATATCTACTTTTATTTGATTACTTGTGTCTACTTTTTTTAACTGTGTTTTAGACATAAAAGTAGCTTGCAGGCATTTTTGACTGTAACATATTTATAAAATTGGTTTGTTTGCTTTGCACATAATTCTTCTAATATAACCCAAGTCATATATCTGAACTAGAGTCCAGGACACGTATGCCATTGTGACATATCAAGAGCTGACTTCTTGCTCTATTATTACCACACTAACTGAAATTAAGAAGACAAAAAGTTGTATTAAATACATTCATCATCTTGGTATGTGCAGCTTTTTTTTTTGACAGAGTTAATGCATCAAAACTACACATATCTTCAATGATATAACTGCATGATTGAATTTATCTCATGTTAAAATTTAGGCATCTAAGAGCCATTTGTAATCACTGTCTTCACATGGGTAGTTAATCATATTTGTCCTCAGCTTTTATGTTGACTGTATGATTTTCCTCTTGATGTTGAAAGTTCATTAAATTGGGGCATAGTATGAATTCACAATGCAGCTATTAAAAATACTCTAAAAATTAATTTTCTTAGGGTGACTATATGTACACATTTTTTTCCTCCTACTTCCCTCCCTACCAAAAAAATTAAATATAATGGAAATTAGACATTACTTACCATTTCTGATTGTGTTGACTTCATTCAGTTCTGTAGTTGACTTTGACTTATTCCTAAGGATATAAAAACATCTGTCTTAATTACAAGACCTCATTACAGACACAGCTCTTATCATTGCAGATGACAGAACCAGTCCTCTTTTTTTTCACTATTCTTCCCATCAACCATTTATGCTATACTTAAAACAAGAGGCAAAAAAATAACTAAAGACCAAGAGGATGCTAAATGGAAAAAAAGTCAATATTTAGAACTCAATAGATAGTCGCCAATTAAAAGTTAAAATTTTGCACTGAAAGTTGTCAGTGCTTCAGGTATAAGGAACTGATCATTGTACTTGTTTCAAAAAAAAATGTAAAAAACCAAATTCTTCCCTGTGGAAGCCTTGTGAAGACTGCAGTCAGACAAAGAAGCAAGAATTTTCAGAGCAGATTTACAATTTATTTGGCTTAATGAGAAACTGAAATCATTCTTCAGCACTGTTACTAAACTGCAAGCAAAACACCCTCTCAAAACCCTGCATGCAGATTGTTTTTGGAAAAATTTACTGTTCACTGATTATACCTAGCAGCATAATTTTTAGTGAGTTTTAGCCAAGAAATGGCATTCAACAAAGGCCATATACAGGAAGACAAATCCAAAAAGTTTGTTTTCTGACAGTACAGAGCAGAAGCCTCAGCAACACCTCTGCTGTATTATTAGTCTCAAGTAGTACAGCCAATTTTTTAGTTTAAAATAACTCACAAAGAAAGGATTTTAAAAGAAATCCTTTGCTTGGTCCCAACTCAAAGCTGCTACATTAATGTTTTTACACATATAGCACTGGCTGCACAGCCACATTTTGAAAGAATCTTGTCCTTTATGTAGAGATAAATGAAGCATAAATTACATCACATCTTGCTTCCTTAAGTTTTTGCTGTCTGTCCTATGGTGTGGACCTGTTTTATTATCTATTTAAGAAGATGCAACACTCTCACAGCTGCTTGTAGTGAAGAAAAAAGCAGTGTCCTCCTCACAAATATATCCAAGATGTAATTATTTACTGCTTGCTCCTTCTGAAGTTAGATCTAGATCTTCCATTAGTAACAGACCCATTAAATGTACCTTGTAATTTTTGGAGTTCCTCTTTATATAAGAGAGGTATGCTCACTTCAGCTACAAGAAGTGATTAATTCTACAGCAGAAGTCACCTTTCAGAATTACTGAGATACAACGCAAAACAAAGGCTTAATTTGTAAAGCAAGAGATTGTACCTTAAAATTAACTTGTGTAAATTACAGGAGTAACATGCACTATCCCCTTGATAAATATCCTGCTGCTGCCTCTCACTTCCCTTCTTGTTTACTCTCTCAAGTTGCACAACCCGAACAGGGATGATTGCACCTTAGTTTGTAGAGCATGCTATAACACAACCACAAGAGATCTGAAATTGTTTTCCAGCCAGGTAAGTTTAGTACTACCCACATATTTACCACCTCACAGTTTTGTTTCTTCCCATAGAATCCCACTGACTAACTGTTGCTTACAACACAGTGTATAATTTGACAAAAGTTTGGCCATTTGTTTTTTCAATATGAAAACACGCCAAAAAAACTGCAAAACACAGCAGCAGTCCAACATATCCATTTAGCTGCTATTACTAAAGTTTATTAGAATTTTAAAAATTTTCTAACAAAGAAATGGTGATGTTACAGTTGGTGTTGAGATTCAATATTGGACATACCTGTCAGCAAACGACTGGCCAGGCTGCGCCTCAATGGTTTTAGAAATTTCATAACGCTCATAATGTCTATTGGAACGAAAAGAAACATTATGTTCACATACAGAAAAAGAGACACATAGTTCCTAAGGGAAATATTCAAAATAGATCCTGAAGGGCTGAAGGAAAAAAAAAAAAAAAGTTTAAATTAAACCCCCCAAACAAGTAAAGTTCTAAGGAGTCTTAATTTAACAGTCAGAAAAAAAAAACTGATAAAAGAAGGCAGAAAAAGAAGAGTTGACAGAAAAACTGCCTGAAATTACATTTTTTGAAGTGACAAGGCAACCAAACATGAGCCTACCAGAATGGTTATTGCTAAAGATGCTTCAACTGTGTATTGATTCAATTTCTTATTACCTGTCAATGACAGGATGGCCAGCTCTATCCTCTATTGTTTTAGATACTTCATAGCGCTCGTAATGTCTAGAAGCAAAATAAAGATAAAATGCATATTAAAAGAAAATTCTAGAAATTGAGCAAACAGTAAGTATCCCCAGAGAAAACTTAGAAAGTTCAGCTATGTTAAAAGAATCCCAAAGACTAAGGTGCTGCAAAAATTACAAGCATCAGTATACAACAGTGATTATCTCACCCATTTCAAAGCCAGGAGGAAAATTTTGTCAAAGCACAGCTGTTCTATAGAAATTACATTTTTATTGCAGAAGAGTGTACAAGTGCAGTTTATAAACTCACAAAGTTCCACAGAAAACACTCTTTAGCTGACTGTCCCCTCCCTCCCTTTCCAGTATCATGTCTTTGCAGGTGTTTATATGTTTCAGATTTCAAGTCTTATCTCTGGATATCATCTTATAGCAAATATTTAACATCAGATATTTTAAAGCCCAGTTTCACTGAACTTGCTCCTTTACTATTAAACAAAACCTCCCATGTTTAGCAAAACACATCCTTTGGCAGCAATCTCAGAGGCAATGAAATCCCTGTGGACTGAAGAATGTGCCAGGGATTTAGATATGCAGATATTACAGCAGCTTAATAAGTTACCACACAAAGTCCTATTATCTTGTAACTGGGACAAGCTAAAATTGTAAAGCTATCCTAGCTCTGCTGCCAGGAAGAACCTGTTCAGCCATTGTAGCATTGTATCTCTGCTTTGCTCAGCAGGCATATCAAGCAGCAGTCATTTAGATTAAACTAAAGTAACTCTGGGTCTTACAACCTCTTCTGCAAATATATGCAGTTTTTTTAAATCATACTACTTTCTCCTAAGGCTTAGCTTGATACTACGTGTTCTCTTTAGTCATCTCTTGTTACTTACATAGGAAAAGAGATAAACCTTAAGAGAAGCCAAAAGTCATACACAAGGCAGTAAGGTAAATGGAGACAAAATAATGAAAGGTTACTGGTTTGATCTGTTTTCAGACAGATTAATCTCCTGTAACAGTAGTCTGAAAACTTCTGGGCAAGAACACAACTTGAGAACTAATAGGTGGGGATTTGTTTGTTAGACTGATTTTTAAATCAAGCTGCTGAAGAAGGTAATGAGAGAAACAAACATATCTGCAGTGGATATTTCTAACAGGCTATGATATGTAAGCAAGTAACGGTTCACTCATACACCATGATATCCCTCACCGACAAATTAAGCCAGTAGTTAAATTACAATTAAGCTTTATTGTAACACTGTTGAATTAAAATGAGAGATAAATCTGTAAAAATCAGCCACACATTTGTTGAAAAAGTGTTAACTTTATATTTCTTCTGGAAGCCCTGTATGTTGAGTCACTGGCTCTCACGTTGAGTCACTGGCTTATGCACAATTCTTACAAAATTTTCTCATTAAGTCCTTCAGATCCTCTTTCATTTGGTTGTAATTACAGTAGTTACACATCCCATTAAAAAAAATAGCTGAAGTAGGGAAATATAGCACTTGATTCTTGGGGAAGGACTGTGTTATGCCTGATCCTTCCATCTTTGGAAAGAAAGACTATGGTATGGGATTTTGCACCTAGTGACTGCAGCATGAATCTCACATGAACATCCTCATACATTCAGGACAGATACAGCCCCGTTGGACACGGATTTGAATTTGCAGAAGGAAGAGAAAGTCCATCCTAGCACAAGTGCACACCTTTGGTACTGAGGCACCTCCACTGACACCTCCCTCTGCTTTTCCGCCTGCCGCCTCTGCTCCTCCAGCTCCGCCTGCCGCCTCTGCTCCTCAGCCTGCTGCTGCTCCCTCTCTTTACGCTGTCTCTCCAGCTCCAGCTCTTGGAGTTCCTGTTCCTGCTCAAAATGCCTGGTAGCTTCTTCCTGGGTCCTCCGTTCCTCCTGAAGCCTCCTCCTTCCTTCCTCCTCATGCAGCAAGCTCGCTGCCAGCTCGTTTTCTCCATCTCGTTCTGGCTCCTTGGGAGCATCTGCTTCTGGGCTTGCTGTCCAGCTGGACACAGGTGGAGCCTGAGAAGTGATAGATGTTGTATTTAGGGTTAGAACAGTCTGTTCCTGTAGCAAAGAAAAAAAAATAATGTTTTTAGGGAAGGGATCTGTTTTTTAAATAGATTGCTCCCTCAGGAAAGGTAATTTATTCTATAAGGTAAGCATGTATAAAAATCATCCCCAGCACTTCCAGTGCAAGATGCAGGGCATAGTTTGGTTACACATTCTCCTAATTCAAGAGTTTCAATCCACACACCAGCCTTAGCAAGCACCACAGGCAGCGTGGCCACAACTATGTGAAACATTCTGCTTTCCAAGGTATCACTTACATGTCAAACCATCCCTTCCCCACTTAAATACCCATGGAAAACAAACCCTTCCATGATACCCAGCATTTCTCCCTACTGTTTTGACTTAGAAACCTGAGACCTATTTAAAAGTGTATACACAAAGATATACACTGCAATCTATGTCAGACTGATGAATTTCACATGAATCCTCATGTGGAGGCATCTCCCACTCTCTTCCATTCTCCTACCATTTCAAAGTCAAGCCTCAGACCTATCACTCTATGACTCTTTTCTCAAAAATGAGAAAAGGCCTTTCAGTGGTCAAAAGATGTTTTAGTTGCAGGAAGAGAAATAATGTTGATGGGTCCATCAGAATCTCTTATGACAGAAAAAATAGAAAATGGTTTATATTCTTGTACAACAAAGTCCTCCAACAGCTCAAAAAGCTTTCTTATTGGAGTTCTAAGCCTTAAATTATGGTCTACTCATTCATGACTGTGTAAACACAACTGATCTAGCTTGGATGCCTGAAGCAACACTCAGCAGTGAAGAGGAGATACCTCAGACAGTTCCCATACTCAGGAAAAAACTTGTTCATCTTCCCATAAACAACAGCCACAGAAATCAGCATCTACAGAAACTACACACATTCAGTGTTTTAAAATATATAACTGGAAATCTAAAGTTGATTTGGTATGTAAATTTATCAGATGAACTGTCTGCCAATAACAAGCCAGACAATTATGAACATGTTTCCTGATCAACTATTGTGAAGCAGAACTCCAAAAAGTATCACCAGGTGGTAAATAAACAGCAAAAGTCTCCATTTATGATCACAATAATTAATACATGCTGTGACGTTTTGTCAGCATATTTTTCCTGTTAGTTACCTAACCAGCTCATAAGCAAGACACAAATTCAACATATCTCAATACATGCCATCTACTCTTTCCATCTTATTTTTTTCTCTACCAAGTCATAGACAACAATTTATTTTCCAAAATGAAAATATAAATGACATAAAAAACCTAGTATTTTGCTTGCTTTCATCCATTTAGTATAAGGGGAAAAAAGCCCTCATGAAACTAGTCAGTAAACCTTTATTCACAGCCTACCTCATCAAAATACTTGGAGCTCTCTTTTTCCGCTTCTTGCTTAGCTCGTAGCCATTCTTCCCTCAGTTTCTCTTGTTCTCGTTGGTATTTCTCCTGTTAGGTTACATTGAAGTTAAACATGCAGATAAGAAACATGGTATTTTTTACTTTCATTAAAATGCACACTGGAATTTAATGTGTTTTTTAACAGACCAAACAGACCAGACAAAAAACATCCCTGAGCTCCACTAGAACATTAGGTCTGCCACAAATGAAATCCTGGCTCAAATACAATCCAAAGGAGCTCCGTAATTGATTTTTGAGTCTCCAGGCTTATTACACTTCAAGTTTCACAAAAGCCAACTTCATAGTCCCTGTCCCTCAGTTTAGTTACCATTTGAACAAAAAAACCTCAGCTATCTAAGGTATTTCTGGAGAAACACAGTGGTTGTATTTAACTTGGAACTAGACACATTAATATTGTAAATATAAAGTGATCACTAAATGAAATAGTAAGATCTCTCATTCTTTTGAAATGTTACCCTTAACAAAACTGAATTTCTGGACCTTGAAGTTTGTCTTTTGACTAGATTTGGTATGAAATCAATATAAAGTATTGCTTAAAGCACATGGCAAATGTTTTGGTGATTTTGTCAATCACTACTTTTATCTTGGAAAAAGCAAAATATTTAAGGATGTCAAAATTATTCCTTCTAAGATGCTGGAAATAAGCAAAGAAAGATTTTGCCTCCTTTTTTTGTGTTATTTGAAAATTCATTGCTAGGATCATGGGGAAGAGAAAGATCATTGTTACTCAGGTCAAATTTATCACTTCAGGACAAAAAAAAGGAGAAACAAAGAAAAGTGACGGCAGATGGCTGAGTCAGCTCTCAAGAAAGGGGAGCCAAGGTTTACACTCTTTAAAGCCATCTCTTCAGGTATCAAATGGAACATCCAAACCATAACGGAGACCACAGGTAAGTTTAGGAAGGTACAGCTGCTGCCCTGCTGAGTGTGCAAGCTACAAGGAACAACACTCAAAAAGCAAGAGAGATTCTATGCCTGTACTCTGACATCACAGTTTTCTGTAGAATACAGCCAAAGAGGGCTTGTGCAGAATAAATGATATTCATTGACATGTCTCCTAGCCATCAGACTTCAGACAACAAACTTTAATTTCATTTGCAGAGATGTGTCTCTGAACATGGTTGAATGTGCTTACACTTCATTGAGCAGAGCTCTTTGCAGAAATGTATGCTTGGGTTTTTTTGCTACCCTAAGACTACAAACAATGCCGCCTCCCTCTGCAACACCCCCCTCCAGCTCTAGCTAGGTGGTTTTGCATTAGCAGATTCAGCTTTCTGACTCAGAGGTCCTGGGAACCAGATTATTCCAACTGATTAGCTGATTGCTAAATGACAAGATTCTAACCAGCAGGTACTGGCTGCCTCCTCAACATTTATGAATACAAGGCAGTATCAGTAATTGAAGGTAAAACTCAGGCTAGAGGCAATTTCCTTAAGGGGAGAAAAATACATTTAATATTCAAAACAGAAGACCCCTTAGTTCTTCACTTAGCCTTTAAATTCTGTTGTCATTAAGAATATACCAGCCCTGGAAGGTTGAGCACTTCCAGCTGTAGTGAATACACATTGTGTGTTTGATTTTATGATGCTCACTAAAGCATTATCCTCTTTTTTCTGAATAAATCCTAATGTGTGCAACTGTGCAGGCCACAAAATGCACCTGAGAGTCTCCCCAGGCCATCAGTAAGAAGAACTGCAGAAATCACATGCTACTTTTCTTTCCTTGTTGCTACACACAGGGGATTGACAGCCCATGATTATGAAGATGAATTATACCTGCAACAAACGGTCCTGCTCTTTTTGCCATTTTTCCTGTCGTTTTCGCTCTTCCTCTTGATCCCAAACCCGACGGCTAGGAGCACTGATGGAGGGAACTGGGAGCTAAAATAGCACAGAAATGAAGTTGTATTATCGTCTTGCCATGTAATCAACACTCCACATTTCTAAACATTTTTTTAGAGTGAGAAATAGAAACCATTACCAACACTAGAGCTTTATATATATAGTGACAAGGAAATAAATTAGCCTTCTCTTCATACGGACAGAAAGCAACCATGCCTTGAAAAAGCAAATCTTAGCCAGTACTCTCAGATTTGATCAAAATTGTAAAGCAGTATAAAAAGCAGTAGAAAGCAGAGAGCTTCTTGAAAGGACTAGAATTATACAACCACCTAGTAGTTCACAAGTAGTACTTACATCAGGCATTGCAGGCTCTGGGCCTCCTGGGAGTTTTGGAAGGCAAAAAAGAGAAATCATTAGACCCATACATAACTACTGCAAGACTTGTGTAACTGTGGCAAGTCTGTGAGCTTCAGACTAATTTTTTCTTTCTTAGTAAGACATGCTTGCATTTGCCCTGCTGAACTTTCTCGAGGGCAGAATTTATTAGGTGCTTTCAACTAATGTGCACAACTGTTTCAAAGCTTTGCATGCTCACAAGTGCCATCAGCAATTGCCTGAATTAGCAGTAAACCTTCCACTGTAGCAACACAAAGGTTCTTCACTATACCTCTCCTATTATTATTGTTGTGAAACCCAACTGTTTAGCATGACCAATACCCAGAACACTGCACAAGGGTAGAGAAGCTATTAGTCTACTGCCCTTGGCATGATTTAAGAGCAATAGACATCCACTGGCATCTCCTCTACCACAAAACCATGTATTTTTGCTCTCCAACTTTCCCTCTTTCCAACTTCCAAAAGCACACTTGAATTCAGTGAACTGGTCACCACTCACCACAAACCTTTTGCTATTTGAGGCTATCACACTTGCCCTTGTCATCCTCTGACAAGATGATTATTAGAGAGAGATGTGCATTATACTAATTTATTACAAGTTGAGAAAAGGGGAGAAACACAAATTAAAATGCAGTAATTTCTTAAGCACCATCACTAGTTTTGTTTGTTGACAGTGTACTTGCTACTTAGCTGTCCAAATTTCAATTTAAAAAAAAAAGGCATAAAAGAAAAAAAAATGCAACATTATTCTGAAGTATGAAATGGAAAAAAGTTCATATTTAGGATACAAAAGACTCTAAGGAGTCACAGGCAAGCATCCGTTCTATATATACAATTTTGTTGTCACTGTCAGATCACAACAGCCACAGTGAAAATCAGGCAATCAGTTTAATCTATTGCAGTTGTGCCAGGAGATATTAAAGGGAAGCATAGACCTTTTTTGCTCCCCTCTTTTCTCACCCCTGTAAGCTTATGCTGAACTCCACAGGAATCTTCATGTAATTGCAAAGCTGAAGTGTCAAAAGTTTAAAATTAACAAGCTGTACTGAACATGCACTCTAGAAATACAACCTTGTCCTCCCCCTCAAGCACAAGTGAAATACCTCAAATATTGTAATAAAAAATATTTAAAAGAAAAAACTAATTTCTGGCAGCCATAAAATAAAAACCAAACAACAACAACAAAACCCCAACACCAACAAATAACCACCAACAAAATACCACCATATTGCAGATACAGCAGAAGTATTTAAAAAGCAAACAGAACCACAAACACAGATATCTACTGTGGCATTTCACATATCGCTTCCGGCAAAAAACAGAAATCAGCACCACTAAAAGCAAAATCCTGGCCCCGCACAAGTCATTGGCAAAACTCAGCTGAGCTTCCAGCAGGCCAGAATTTCACTCTTTCAGGCTACAGCAAAACAGAAAGCCATACATAGCCCAAATACAGCATAAGACATAAAACATTAGTGGAAGTATGTGAGCTGTGACATGCAAAATGCTGAAAAAGCAACCTACAAAACCAAAATTGAGTGCCTCGTTCATTGCCTTTTTAAAAAATGCTGGCATATTAAATTCAAAATTCATATTGGTCTTCTTGGGATCTTGTGACATCACCACATAATGGAAAGCCAGCAGGTGCCTTTTTATACCAATTTATGCAAAAGCACAGAGCTGCAACTCAAACTCAAATCCAGAGTTGAATGCTCCATCAACAGCTCTGAGATCTTCTCTAAACCTTTGCTGGAATATTCACCATTATTCTTGTTTTGTAGGTAGTAGCAAACCTGAACAGAGAGTGCCACCCTTCTAACTTCTACCCAGTGGGAAAAAAAAAGTATGAACAACACAGAAAAGATTTAAACAGCTATAGATATAAGAGAACACACAAAGACCCATTACCACAAAGGTAGACCCATGAATTGTAAGAATAACCTGATGACCCTGAGGAAAGAAGGGAAATTAATTATGTTGCTTCACTGTAACTGCAGAAACAACACTGAAGAGGTAGAGCACCCAGCACCAGACTTGTTAGGGAGAGTGTGCAGCAGGAACGATTTCATGGAAGTACATGAAATGTTAGCTTTTTGGTTTACCTTGTTCAAAAAATTGTGACCGCCTTTTTAAGTTTTTCAAAGAAATAGGTTCAGATGCTATTTGAAAATACAAAGAATACAAACAAATCAAAATGAGGTGCCTTTTTTAAAATTACTATAATGACTGGATAAGAAACTTCAGTTAGACCTCCCATACGCTGCAACATCACTTCTAAAAGCAAAAAGCCCCTGAAACGCAAAGGAAAACCTTAGGAGATTACATTATATATTAATTAGGATTTCATTTTATCAGTAACAATGTCCAACAATAAAAACAGCACAAGTGTCAAAACTCAGACTCAGATTCTCCCTGTCTAATTTAATCATCCTTGATTAGGATTCAAAGTTGAAATGAGGAGCCTAATGACCATTCAAGGCCATTAGAAAACATCTCCAGAGGGCAAGTGATATCTTGGAGGAATTTTTCTGTGAATTGCCATGTGTATTCAAGCTAAAATGAAATACAAAGTTCCTACTTCTGGATTATTATTCCATTAGGAAGCATACATAGCTGGTTCCTCTCACTGCTGTCAAGTAAGGCTATAACTACTCATAGCCTCATATGCAATCATTATTCATATCATAATCATCAATATTGTTCTCCAGGAATAAAAGTAAAGTAATAATAGTGAAAACAGCCACTAACCCCAAAACCTTACAACTGAAGGAGGCAGGAAAAAGTAGCAAAAAGTTGAGTACTTCTACACTCTTCCTGGGTAGTGAAATAAGTCAATACTCATACTAACTCAGTCACCATACAATGCAGTGGCAATTACAATAAGTCGTGTGCCTTCTTGTCTTTCACCCCTACCAAACATTAAATTTACAACCATTAATGCACAGACAGGGCTTTTTTGCAGCTTTGTTGTCAGTTCTCAAACTGCCTAGCAATTGTGGAAGCAAGCTAAACCCAGTTTGGATGCAACAAGATCTCTGTGATATCTGTCTGGCTTTTGGTTCGTTAAGGTCTCACTTCACCCACTGTATAACACTTCCAGTCATTACTGGCTTGGTGTCTGTGCTTGTCACAAACCAGACAATTAGCAGATAAAAAGCAACAGTGATTTACCTCTTTGTTCATTAGAGCCAAGATCTCCTTGCATTCCATTTATCAATTTTGTTTCTGTATCCTAAAATACATAAATGAATGAATAAATAAATGTCTTAGGCTCGTTAGATTTGTGGAAGTTTATCCAACTACGCGTCTTTCTTATCAGGAACTATATGTCATGAAACACTTCATAATATTTTGTAGAAGGATACAAAACAATCTAAAACTTCCTCAGTGTAATTTATAATAAAGCTACTGCACGCATTTGAGGGAATCAATAACCAGCTGTGAACTGCTGCAGAAATAAAACACATTAGCTTGCAAGAAAATTCCAGAGGCCAAAATCTTCCTTGGCAGGCAGGTTTTATTTGCAAGTAATTTGAAAGCACATATGCACCTGTTCTTTGCGGCTGCAACTTCCATTTAGGCTAATAATTCAGGTCAAAATCTTCTCTGAAGAACGAACATTATATATGGTTTTAATCAAAAGATAGTCTGCATCTGTTTTAATATTTATCATTCGCCAGTGTTCTCTCATGAATAGACAGCAGCAAGTCTTTAAAACATCTTATTTACCTTAATACATGCATAGCTACCTCTCTCCATATTTCACATACAGGATTCTACACTTGTATTGCTTAAGGAACAGAAGATTCACAAGTTCTTTTCTCCATCCTCCCACTATCAAGACACTACATTTTTTCTTCCTCCCCTCATATCCCATGAACCTTCAAAAACATACTCACAGAACTTTGAAGGCTGCTGGAGAAATCTCTTTTTGTGGATATGGTGGAAGCATTTGAAACTTTTTCTCCCGAAGTTGCATCAATCCATTTATTTTCAGATGTACCTATAATGTTGGTAGCCACACTGGTGAGATTGAGGATTTTATGCCTTACATGTGGCAGGGAAGGCAGGTCTTTGCCCCAGTCTTTTTGGTATGTGGACGATTGAGAAATTAATATAGACAGTAACGTCAAAGAACAGAACAATAGCTAGTGAAAACATGAAAATAACACAAAAACAGGAGAGGGGACACACAAATCAGGTGGAATTTGTGAAGACAGGAAAAAGGGCATTTATAGCAGACCGCCTTCCCCAAAAATGAAAGTGTTAGTCATAAGCCAGGTAAAAGTTTGCCAAAACAAAAGATGTTTTGCTGATATGTGCTACAGCAGCTGAACATTAGAGACGAGTTAGCATTCATTGGACACTATTTCATTAGTGTTAGTAAGGATTGAGAAAATTCTTCCGACTTTACTCACTCCAGGTACAATGAGACTCATACACTATCCAGGGAAGGATTTTCATGTCCATGCTCATCAGGAAGCACAGAGAGGGGGAAGATAAGGCAGCCTAAACTAAAGTGGCAAATTGATGAGGCAAATACAAATGATGCTCTTCTCACATACTCCATCCTATCTCCCTTCCCTACCCCTCCTACTGAAAATTTTATTCAATTAGTTTTTTGCCACTAATGTCACTCTTCAGTTGTATTAGGTCCTATAAAGTGATTTGTTTCTTGTCTCTTCCTAACCCCACTTTTTTTACACCAGTTTGCTGGTAACTTATTTACCTAGCTTCCCACTAAAAGAATGTTTTGTATTTATACTGTGAAAGAAATCACTGATCACACTTCAACTCTGCAAAAATTCTTCTAGAACTTTGAAAGGGTTTCCTGATTAAAACCATGGCAAGTCAAGACATGCTACAAGGCTCTCAAGCCAGGATGGAAATCCTCCCTACTCAGAATAGGTAGGACCATTCTGGAGAGATTACAGCACCACAATATTTGGGTCAATGGCCAGAATCACAGCACACAGGTGCTGCATCACCCACAAGCTTATACCTCACTTCAAACACTCCCTGAAGAAAGGAACAAAAGATCCTCCTTCCCTGAAGAAAGGGAGCTGGTGACTGAGAGAGAGGGCCTTTAAAAATTAGTGATCCCCTAGTGATCCTCTAGTGATGCCCTAGAGATCAGACCCTCTTAATTCCTGTGGTATGGCAGGGAAGAAAATGTTAGATTCCTTTCTGTGCTGGTCGCACACTTTTTTTACCTGTCCATCCTCTAAGAAACAGGCCAGAGCACAAGAGTGAGGTCAGTAGTTCAATGTTTTGCAGATTTCCTTGTCAAGACACTTCTAATGCCAAGCAGTTAAAAAAGCCAAGTTGTGTTAAAATGCAACAGACACATTGGCAAACTACTCAGCTTAGACACGTATTACTGCTGTAAGGGTAATAAGGACTCTCAGCTGTCAGGCACAGCAGAGACAAAGCTTATTTGCCTTACAGAGCATACAGTATCTGCCTGACGCAACAACTCACCATTCTTTCCATATCGTCTGACATCCATGACCAGGTTTCCAGTTTCTAGTGCTCTGTTGATGGCTTCTTCCCACTGACTGTGGTCCATATGGGAAACCTTTGTGCCGTTGACAGCAATGATCTCATCATCTACATGCAGCTGACAAAGTGCTGCAGGGCTGCCTGCAGAAAACAGAAGAAAAATGTTATTATGTCTCCATATTTTTTCTTTTTATCACAGTTGTGATTGGAAGAGAGTGGTTTGGGGAATCATTGAAAGAAATGCTTAATGGTGCATATTTAGAAAGTCTTAGAAAAATTCACTACACTGTAACATAAGCTCAGTAAACTCAGTATCAAAGCAGCTTTTCAATTTAGAACTTAGGAAAACAATAAAATCAGTCTTCTGGACTTGGAAGTTTCAGATTATGGTCCCCCCATTTTAATAAACAACCTCTGTGTTCAGTCTTCACTAACTCACCTTTATAATCTGTGATAGTTAGTGAGAGAGAGGCAGCACAATGTCTATATCCAATGATTAGCTGAAATTCAGCCAATGTTTGGGTAATCCTCTTAATTGTCAAAAAAACCCCCCAAAAAACAGCCTGCACTTTGTTAAGTCCAGTAGAAACTGGCCTTCTTGTATTCTCATTTACATTTTCTGACCTCTACTAACAAGAGCATGCTGCTTTATTGCTTTGCCAGAATAGTTTATTAGCTTTAAATTGATTGGTAATTGGACTCAAGATATTGCTGGGTATTGTCCCACTAGACTTCTCTGGATTCTATTTATTTTATCTATTAAGAGCAAACTTTATGGCAAGTTGGACTTTGAATCTACTGATATTTTGCAAGACGAGCTGCACTTTACACTTTTTTCATCTGCTACACATTGGCAGGCAATCTCACTAGACTAAGGACAGAGTACATAGAAGACCAGTTCATAAACTTTTTTTCTATTTAATTCAGAAAATGGATAGGCTGAGAAACTCAGACTCTCCAAGCAAGATTTTACAGTTTACATATGAATGGTCCTTCCATTAAGAATTATTCCCTTAACAGAACAGAAAATAGAAAAGCCAAGTAAAAATATAGTTAAGGACTGCACAATAAACCCTCATGTTAATAAAACAAGCTTGAATTACACAGTGGAAGGATTTTCCAAAATAAGCAGTGAAATACACACATCTTACTTAAAATATACCAAGAACAATGCCCTATTACATTATTAGAAACAAATGTGGACAAGTATGACAGAAAAATTTAGACACCATATGCTTCATCCTGAGTGTCTTTTGACTTCTTCGTAAAATGCTGCTGTAAGTCTGGCTCATCCACTAAGGATTCAGATGGCTTCACACACAAGGAAGTTAAGAAATGCTCTTTTTCCTAGTACTGCACCAAATAATGATCGATATAGCTCACTAAAAAGCTCCACTGACTTCTCTGCTAGAAGAACATGGCTCCATACTATATTGTTCTGCATCATTCTTAAAATATGGACTAAAAACTTCATTTGCTGTTATCAATATTAATTGCTTTTAAACTGTATTGTGGAAGAAAAGGTAGGGTTTTCATCTGAAGCAGGAAATATGGACAACAGTTTAACTGGAAAAAAACATGGATCTCTAGGTGTCAAGAAGATGTTAAAGAATCATGGATATTCAAGTCTGTTAATGGAAGGTCCTACTAAGAATATTATCAGAGATACTAATACTGAAGTCACTAATTTCAACAACTTCATGTAACATTCAGAATCACGTCTGATATTTAGTACCATATAGTTTAACCAGATCTGGATTAAGCCTTATGCTCATGATACAGGGAAAGCTTCAGGCTGCAGCAGAGTCATTAGCACTCATAATTTCTGTCTTGACTTGTGACAGAATAACCCCCAGTAACCAAAAAAAGGTGGTGTTGATTTTACTCAAATAATTTGTCAGGGATGAGACCAGGCTCAGAGGTGTGAACAGTGTACCTCAATTGACTCAGTTTCAGGAAAGGAAGGGAGTTGAAGATTTCACAGTTCCTCCTATAATATTAGTAGAAAGGTATATGCGGACCATACTCCGCAGATTGAATGAATAGCAGCAGTCTCTAGATCTGGACCTAAAATAGCCAGAACAACGTAAACTGCTCAGTTTTTGCCCTGTAACTTTGCCAGCAGCTCTTTCTCCACAGTCTCTGGACAAAAGGGCTTCTCAAGAGTGCAAACCAGGGTGCCTACAGTGGGCTTCTGCTCTCATTCACATCCAGAGAAGCCCACAGAGCCTGCCCAGAAATTTAGCTGCCAGAAGTTGTATGCTATCAGTTGTCTTACCCTGTCCAGCTACTCCAAGACTACAGGTGTTAATTTCTGTACATTCCAATAAAGGACTTAGTTTTCATGATATAAAATATGTACTGTTTTATGTATCTATCTGCTTTTATGTTTTCCATAGGTTTTCCTGAAGGTAAAAGGCTTTTGTTTCTAACTAGTCCCCAGTAAAAACAAAAGCAACCAAATACTCATTTTCCATATGCTCTAAATTATCTCTAACCTATTCCCATCTGTTGTTATTACAATAGATAAACACTATCTCAATGATAGAAAAAAAATAAAACTTGAAGGATGTGGATCCGATTTACTTTGTCCTACGTGACTGCAAGCAGATCAGACATGCACTCCTGTGCATACAATCTCAAAAAAATTATTGCAAAGGGAAAGTGAAAGGGGAAGGACTGAAACAATAAAGATTATATGGCACTGGGGAAGTTGGCAGAACAATGTCTAGATTAATGACTTAAGGCTTTCTATTTACCTAATTTTTAGTGTAAAGGTTGAAGACTCCTTTAAAAAATAGGAACTATCCTTTTTTATATGTAGTAAGTGGGTATCACTGAAATATGTGTTACAAGCTTAACTCTTACTTAGGTTTTTGAGAACACTTACAAGTTAATTTTGCCTACCAAGCAGTTTTCTTAGAGGATTTTTTTTAAGGAATAGCGTATTTAGAATACAGAGTCATCTTTAAGTAGTAAAAAATATATATGCTGGGTATCATCTCAAGAAAATCATACACCTAGGAGAAAGTATTCCTGGAAGCTTCTTCTAGGCTTAAGAAAAAGGTGACTAGAATGTTTGGTTTGGATTTGCCAAGCCTAAATCACACTTGACCAACCTGGTTATCTTCAATGATGAATTGCCTAGATCTCTGTGGATGATGGAAGAGAGGTAGTTATAATCCACCCCTTGCCTTTAACAAGACCATTGACATGATATTCCACAGTATCCAGGTATCAAAAGTGGGATACTGTGCACAGGGCAGAACGACCAGATGGTGAAAAACTGGCTGGGCTGTGAGGCTCTGTGGGAAGTGGTTAATGGCTCTTACTCAGCCTGCAGGCTGCTCACAAGTGAATCTCAGGAGGATGTATCAGGGACCTGCCCTGTTTAATATGTTCAGCAATCACTAGGAGAAGGAGGAAAACACACCCTCATCAAGTTTTCAAACCTTGCCAAAAGTGAGAGGGTGGCCAGTACAATGGAGGGCAGGGCTGCTCTTGAGAGCAGGAACCTGACACTCAACAAGGCCACATGCAGGGTCCTGTTCCTGAAAAGGACTAATCCCAGTGATGGTACAGGCTGGGCATTGATGGGCTGGAGAGCAAGGCTGGGGGCCCTGGCAGTGGTGGGGCTGTATGAACACTAACATGACCAACAAATCAAGACAAGTGGCCATTCAATTCACTCAGCGCCTCTTATGCCACACTGACAATACTGTGTCCAGCTTTGGTGTTCCTCTGTAAGAGAGACATCAATAAACTGGGGCAAGGTAAATGGGAAGGCACTGGGATGGTTAGGGCTGGAGCAATGGACCTGTGAGGAAAGGCTGAAGAGTATGGGCTTGTTCAGCCTGGAGAAGAGAGGCTGCAGGAGAACCTAACAGTACCCCCCAGTACATACCAGGAGGTCCCTGAGAAGGGAAAGCTCGCTCTTCATTGAAATTTATGTCAGGAAAACACAGAACAGTGGTTATAAATGGGGACAAAGATGGGTCTGACTGGGTCTGTAGGGGAAATTTTCTCTGAGAGGATAATGCCCAGAGAGGCTGTGTGGATTCCATTCTCAGAGGGTCTCAAACCCCCATGGGTAACAAGCCCTAGGACACTGGAATTAGTCTGAATTCCATCTTGACATTTTTTTGAGTAGTGCATTGCCCTACGTGATCTTCCAAGCTGAATTATACTATGACTTATCCTTAAAAATAGGAAATACAACACTCCCAAGTGCCTAGCTGAAAGCATATATTACTCTTTCAATGGGTCATCCACATCTTTCATCCTTCGTTTCTTTAAAGGGAGCTACAGCTTTTGAGTAAGGATACAAGATGGGACAGTTGTTGGAAGAAAAAAGTGCTGAACACAGGCTACAAACGAGAGCACTGAGATACAGCCCATTCTCGGTTAAATCTATACTTTGTGCTCTTTCCTGTGAGAATGGTAATAAAGCATAACCAAGATAAAAACCACAAGGCCTTCACCTTCTCCTTGGGATAGAGCCCATGTGGACCTTTGTGAATGACCAGCAGGAACATTCACTATCCTCACATTTCTCCTTTTCATCTGGCAGTGCAAATGGACAGACCCCTGCCTCCAAGGCAGGAAATTAAACCCAAAGCCTAGCAGCAGGAAAAGCAAAGGGAAAGTTATTCTTCAGGCAGAACGAATATTAGTATTTCCAGAATCAGAGAACGAAACAGGTTAGAATGAACCGCAGTGGTTTATCTGGTCCATCCTCCCTGCTCAAGGAGGGTTATCCTAGAACAAATCCAATTACGAAAAGTACTCAGATATAGTGGAAAAAGGCTGCTTCACTTCTTGAATTTGAAAAAGAAAAAAAAAATCCAAGACTGCTCATTAACTGCTGTTAAACAGTATTGTTTCCTCTCTGGAAAGCATAATACAAACCTAACTACATTAAAAGTTAGCTAAAGAAAGCATAATACAGAGCTAGTGAAATTAATAGTTTCCAGCTATTTCTCCTTTCTCAGGATGATCTTGTGTTAGGTGCAAAGAAGGGCACAATTCAATATTCCTCAAGTATTACTGGCAATGGGAAATACTATTGTTTAGAAAACAAGCATTATATGTGATTTGCTTAGGTTTTCGTTGGTTTTTTTTTTTTTTTTTTAGAAAATTGAGCTCATTCTCTGCAGAAGACTACTAAAGGTTAGAAATAAACTTTATGTATGTGCCATGTCAAGACAAAAATGTTTGCTTTCCCTGAGTATTAAACAACTGAAAAAAACTACACTGAAAATCAATTTGGAAACTGCAACTACTTAAGAATATGAGCTCCAGAATTCAGCATGACTAAGAAAGGAGAAATTGAACAAAGAGTATTAACTCCCAAGTTTCTTCTGCAAGTGTTTACAAACCACGTGAAGTGAAATCTTTCAAACTCAGCTGTAAGACACAGTCTGGACATTGGAAGTCTGCATTTGCCCCTAAATACTGTTCTGTAAGAGGCTTATGTTTATACCCTCCTTGATTAGGAAAATGCATTTTGGTGTTTCTGAATTCAACCTGTTTCAAGAGATGAGGGTTCACAGAAATACATTAGCAAACTAAATAGTGATCTTTCAGTTCTGCACCTCATGTTTTTTGCACATTCTTAGCAGCAAATGCCTTGAGAAACCTCTGCAAATTAAACATAAGAACAAAAATTTGTGAATATATACACATTTACCTTCTTCAACTGTCTGTACAATGGCTCCTGAAGAACTCCAATTTGTTGTAAACCCAAAGCTGCGACTGTGGCCAGGTCTCTGGTTTATACTGATTCTCATTTCACTGTACTGTTCCTGTAAAATAAAACATGACACTACAGTATCTGGTATCACAGGAATCTAAATGAGGGAAAGTTTATCCCCTAAATAAGGGAGGCTGCTCACAATGTGCACTTTAATCATCTATTATTAGCATCACAGACAAAGGAAACAGTACTGAAGTCAGTTAACTAACTCATTTGCTTTTTATTCCAACAGGTGTTTCAGTTGGCATTTATATTTTCTCTACATGTATCTTTCACTCTGCATTTCTGTTATTTTAGATGTTTTGCAACACAGTGCTAAAAAATTTCAAGAACCTGGAGGAAATTAAACACCTAAATCATTCTTCATGGATTGTCTTGTGAATTTTTGACATGCACTGCCTCCTCAGTGAGCATCAGAGATGTGAAAAAGCTAGATAACTGTAATCAATCTTTTTTTTGTTGTTGGTTTTTTTTTTTGTTTTTGCATATCCTATGATAAGAACCATCAGTTTAGGCTCATGTTGCAACTAGGTTTACTTGGGTGCACAATCATCTTCTTGATTTTGTGTGAAACACTACCAGCTTGCTATAGATTTTGTAATACAGCGCTTAGATAATAGAAATAATCCCAAAATCAGCTAAATCCAGATCTTTATTGGACTTTCAAGATGCTTTCAGAATTTGAATCAAAATCTAACATTGCCATTTTAAACAACAAGAATATCTGAATGGGAAAACATTTTCTAACACTTGCTTTCAATCCCATGCTATATTTGGAGCATGTGTTGCATACATTAACATTCTAAGGTGAGCTCATTAAAAACCTAAATGCACGCTACACACTTCATCAGCATGACAGTGACATTGATATAAAAGGAAAAAAAAAATTTGTCAGACAATGTTAAGATGAATATATTCCAGCAAAATCTGCACATTTTCACACACGCATTGAATGTACGCCTACATTTTAGTTCCCTAGCGACCCAGCCTTCCTGAAGAGTCGGATTCATTTTCCCTAACTTAAAATATTTAAGAGTCTAGAAACCTATGCCAATTCCTCCCAGCTCTTCTGTTGTAAGATGCAACAAGCAGCTCCAGCAAGCACTGCACAAGCAGGTGCAGCCAGCCAGAGTCTCAGGGTGCAGCCAGAGGTGGTTTCAGCAGCACCCGAGTACTGGATAGGGCAGAAAACAACAGAGCACGGCATCATCCCAAGGTATCACCTCATGTTACAGGAATGTTCCTGGGAGAACACTCCCCATTACAGCCCAGGGTAGAAATTAAGTCTTTTCTTCACAACACAGCTACTGGCTTGCAAATGCTCCCATACACAACCTAAATCCTTAGGTGAGTATATTAAAAGTGAATCTATTTAACAGGTTAGCACAGTGGGCTGGAGAACATACAAACCTTTTGAGTTTGAGTGTGTTCCTGGAAATTACTACTGGTCTTAATTTTTTTTCCTCACCATCCCAACAAGACTCTTCAGATGTCTCTCTTGTCAGAGGAGTAATGTGACTTTGCACACTGAACTTTAACACTTTTATAGGTCATCTCTAACGCAGTGCTCCACAGACCTGGTGCTATGGCCCTGACGACTAGTGAGCTATATCAATCTCTCTGTCAATGATTTACAAACACATCAAATGGAACTTGCATTCCTTTACTTGGAGGTTGGTAAATTACATAATACAACTGAGATTTTTTTTTTTTTAACTTTTAAAAATATCTTTTAAATGCCCCCCCCCATTACTCACTTGTAGGAGGAAAGATTTATTATCTGTTAACTAATGACAGGAGAAAAACAAATGGACCTAGTACATGCTATTCTCATTTGCCTTGCTTAAACAGATACTAAGAACTTGCATCAAATCTGACAGTTTTCACTGATTAAAACAGAAATTCCTCTGCCTGTTTTTGCTACAACACAGGAAAAAAAAGATTATTATCTCATTGTCTTTTTCCTTATGCAGCAATCACAGTTTCAAATAATTATGATAAATTCATTAAAATGGCCAAATGGCATTAAGGGTATTAAACTGCAATGTATTTCTTTTCCACAAGTGATTAGGAAGAAGAATGTTTGGAAGCAAATGAACTTTAAAAAAGTTGTTATGGGAAGTTATTTCATAAATCAGCATCCAAGGTCTTATGACCTTCACCCAAGCAACTGGCACAATTAAGTTTTACAGCAGGATCAGGAATGCAAATCTGTCAAGGGTTATGAACTGAATCATCAGATAGTACAGCAAGGTATTTAGTCATTTAAAATTAAAGCTATTGTTGGTGAAACATGCAATCAGTTGGAGGAAACAGCACTTAAGATACATATTTCAAAAAGAACACTGAAGGACCCAGCCCCTTTTCCAACAAGCACATGCACAAAGAGATGGTGATTTACTTCAAAATTAATGAACATTAATTAGATTCAAGTAAATAGCTAACAAAAAAAAAAATCCAAGTCACAACAGATGGAAAAAAGGATAGTGTGATACTGATGTTTATGGCCAGCCTTTGAAAAGCTGATCTTTATTTTCCACCACCAGTTTAAAAGTGCAAATGAATGCTACAGCAGCTCAGATAATTCATCTAACTGTCACACCTGATTATATGAACAGTGTGCTAATTTGGAGAATAGTAAAAACTTTGCAATGTTAAATATATGTAAAATAACTATTCTGAATTAGAATGATAAATAAAATTAAGCACATGACAAAATGGATAGGGGAAAATTCAGCGAAATAATATTTTTTTCTTCCCCAAATACTCTCTTTCCCCTAAATTAAATCAAAGGAAATAGCAAGTGTCTGAGATGTCTTCTTACTACCAGAAAAATGCTTGCATTAGATGTACTTTTAGTTATTTTCTTTTTTATTCTGCTGTGGCATTCAGTTAAACCAAGTAATCACATTATTTCCACACTTACCATGGATTTTGAATCCTTAGGCTCCGTCAGAGTTGCAGTTTCTGCAGAAGATGCAAGTGAAAGAGAATCAGGAGGAATGCCATATTCTGGCTTAGGAATACTACTTCCAGCATCTTGGTCTTGGGGCTTTAAAGGTAATGCCAAACTGGGAGGAGGTGTTGACTGAACACCTTTTTCCTCCTCTTCCTCCTCACCTCTGCTTCTGAATGCACCAGTGGAGAGAGGGTGTGCAGACTCTGGTTGTGAAAAGCTGGTGAACAAAGTTTGAGTTCGTTTAGCTTTTTCTACTTCTCCATTGTATTTCTGAGCATCATCCATCTAGGAGAAAAATTACAGTTTGGTAAAGAAGTGCTTTAAAACAGAAATCCTTGAATCTTTCAGTGATTTTTATATTTAACAAAACCACCTCCGTCTTTGAAACAAATTCTGGCTCCTGTGCCCATTGTTAACTACCTACTTAGAATTTTTTTTTTTCCTCTTGAAATGCTTTTTTTTTTCTTGAAATAGTCCTGACTTAAGATAAACTTGTTAAAGTAATCTACTTAGAATTATTTATATTCTTGCCACTTTTTAAATTGAAACAAATAAGGATATAAGAGAAAACTATGAAAATCATCATAGTAATGGGGCAGGGAATTAATTTCATTGTTCCAGTGCTTTAGAGTGCAGACAAAATTTAGCCTAGCATAAAATTTCAACAAAGTCAGCAGAGCAGAGGAAACATCTATCACCTGAAAAATTTATCTTTAACACTTAATTATGTTAACCTGGCTCCAAATAATTACCTCCAATGCCATTTTTTTGATAAAGCACACAAAAGGAGACTTACTACAAGTAATAAAAAGAATATTTTACCAAACATAGCTACCAGCTTTAATTCTAGGAGTGTGCTTAAGCACAGAAACACAAGTAAACATCTAAAGGCATGACAGAACTTCCTGCTCTATTAACACAGCCTTCATCACACAGGAGGCACTTTATAAACAAAACCAAAACATTAAAGCTACTGTTCCCCCAGCTATTGAAGACCCCAAATTTACTAACTTCAGGAATGAAGCAGAATTTTACCGTGAACGACCGTGGAAGTGACGAGATTCCTCTTGAGTGGACACCAAAAGGTCTTGGTGTAACCACAGATGTTAACCTGGAGGTATCGGTTTTCTGGTAAGTTCTCGGGAGAGAAGCTGAAACCTGAGCTGACCCAGTTTGAGCGTTCACTGAGTAACGAGTGGACAAAAGCACCGGGCTCTGCTCCCGCTCCAGGCTCTCTGGAGGAGCAGGAGCTTCTCGAGCAGCTGAGCTCTCGGGCAGGCTCTCCTTGGGAGGCTGGGTGGTGTACACACTTTTACTGTCCCTAGTGCTGTGGGAAGCATCTTCCTCCAAACGGTGATCTTTGGTTGCTGACCAATCTTCTGCTGCTGTGGAAGGTGCTTTGTCTTCACTGAACACATCATCATCATTCAGTGAGGACGCCCAGTTGTGCTCCTGTTTCTGCTGCTCATAGGACTCTTGATCTCTGTCTTCCCTAAGGGAACAGAGCCTGTTAAAATACCAAAGTGACCCAACAAACAGGCAGGCCTAAAGTCTTTCAACTAGTAAACGTTTAAGGCTGAGCATAAGCCAAATAATGCCTCTCCAGTAAATAAAAATTATTAGCATAATTTAAATACATTAATATTTTCATAGATTTTTTTAATCTATCTTCTTCCACCTCCTCCCCAGTTCAGGACTCTCATAGCACTCAGACATAATACTATCAGGCTGCCACCATGACAGAAATCTTTGCCAATAAAATGATCTAGCTGCACATCTGTAAATGATACAGATATACATCCTCAGAAATTCAGATTTATTTAGGAAAGAACAGGAATAAGATAGTCCCATAACACACACTGCCTGAACTGTGTAACTGTGCTCAATGTTTCTGAAATGCTATGCTGAATTTTAGATACCTAAATAAGACAGTGCTCTAAAATTCAGCTAATTATTATTTTTTTGCTACTCATTCCTTTGTCATAAATGAACAACCACTACAAGGATATCCTTTAAAATACAAGTTGTAGGATTCTTATTGATACTGAACATTCAATACAATTACCATCCATACTTTTATTCAGGCAACTAATTTTTGTCCTCACAAATAAGTAAAAAATTAAAGAAATCCAAAATATTAGACTTTTTTATGAATACATGTCATGTATATATTATCTTCAGCTGAGTCATATGTGCATTTGAAATAAATAAATAAATAGATAAATAAATAAGACTGTCACCACTAGAGATGGTACTGTGCAGTTTACACTTTTTGCTCTTCAGAAAGTAAATATCAAGAGGAAAAATTAGGGATGAAGGGAAATCAAGTAAAAGTTTAGCTCTGTGACATAAGTTAAAATTCTGGCTGCAGTTCTCAACAATGGCTAAAAAAATAGCAAATGCAGTGGAAGAAGGAAGATAAATAGTTAACTTTATCCATGAGTAAAAAAAGACAGCTATCCAGTTCAGTGCTATTGTTTTAACTAATTTAAAGAGAATGCAAATATTGATTTCTCAATATTTTATTTATGGGTAGCAAAGTAAAATATCATTCATAGAGAAAACTGCTTAACATTCTGTGCAAACAGCACATTAGAAAACCATATCCAGCCCTTCAATTGCGTAGATGTCTACATTTTATTTTGCAACTAAAATTGTCAAGATCTCTGCAGAATCAATTGCAACTTGTTGGTAATAGTGGCTCAAAAATTTAAGGGAATAAAAATGCTCAGATTTATGTTCTTACACATAATATTCCCAGTAGGACTATTACCTCTCCTGCTGCATATCCTTCAGTGACTTGGTACTCCTTCCAGACACTTCAGAGGCTCTCCTTTCAATTTCTTCCCTCTCTTCCTTTTTCTTTTGCAATTCTGAAGTGTAACTCTTTCTACGACTCTTCCATTTTGCTAGATCCTGTTTAGCATAACACAAATATAAGCCATCAGATTTTCTCAAGGCCTCATAGACTTACAGAGGCATCCCATTACATGCTATTTATTGGCCTGATTTTATTTGCATGTCTGCATCACAGCCACATTTTCATGTACCTTTCCCCTAAATTATAAAGGGATTGTCATGTTCTATTTAGGGTTACAGGCTCACTGCCTCCTTAAGTTAACAATTGCAATTACTGGACTATGTGCTATTTAGCCCATTTTTTCTCATCTTAACATTTTCAATTTTATTCTAAAATACATCACCAATCACACATAATTGAAAACTAATGCAAATGCAATCTGAATTTCTTTGTTGAGGGCTTTAGAGTTTAGGATATCATTATTTTTCCAAATCACTACTATGTTAGACTGATTCACTAGCTTGAGAATAAATATGCCAAAATTCTAAACTGAAAACAGATATTTCTGTACTTTCTTCATTTCTGTAAAACCGCAATGTGAACTGGCAATATTGTCCATGAAATACCAGAGCTGAGTAAAGGGGAAGTACTGAGTATTAAAACTGAGATGCATTAAACAAACAACTGTGAACTTCTTGCTTGGTGTTTGTTCTTAATTTTGGCTTCTTGTTGATACTCATTGTCAAGCAGAGATTTTAATAAATTGAAAAGTCTTTAGAAATGCTTATGATGCTGTGCAAAACTACCATGCAGTTTACAAGCTGGATTTAAGACAGCATTATTAGTGGATAGGAGCCTCAAAAATTTGCACAAGGAAGTATTGTTTATTCCCCTTTCTCCCAGAGGATCAAATACTCAGACATTCCAATCATTTCTCCAAAAAAGTATTCAAAAATTGCAGATAACACAAGAAACTATGCCCTAACTTCTCTTTACGTCCACAGAAATCAAGCCTGAAGGCTTTATTACAATACATGCAGGTTCTATCCTGAAGCATTAATCAGAAACTTAGGAGGATATTTAAAATAATTTCAGTTCTGCATTAAACAGGCATCCCCAAAAACTCCAGTAGCTGTATGAGATGAATTGTTTTAGAAGACAGCCCCATGAATTGCTGCACACATGCCAAAGTTTTTTTACTAGGGACACTGAAGGCAGGTGACATCAGCCCTTCAAGCAGGATGCACAAGGAGAGGTGAGGAGGAGTCCTTACTTCTTGCCACTTTAGATCTTGCTCTTGTAACTGTTCTTTTATCTTCTGCAGCTCTTCATAACGGATTTTGCGCAGTGTCTGCAGCTCCTCTGCACTGACATCATTCAAAGATTTACTCCTAGAAAGGGAAAAGAGAACTCAGCTTTATAACATCCTAGCCCTCATTTACATGGGTGAAACCTTCAGACAGAGAAAAAGACTTATATTAGTACAACTGAATGCTCATGAGTGTTATTTTGAATGGAGCAGGAAGCACATGGGCAGCCTATGGGATGTGCTGTAGGGCCAACACACAAGTCATTAGTTGGGTATTTGAGAAAATAAAATCAGGTTAAGGGAGTAAGCAGCTCTGTACATCTCCATGCTGATCATTCACACTGAGCTCCTCCTAGAACACTGCTACTTCTGTTTTAACTTGCTATTTTCTTTATTGATCTTGTTTCTTTCTTTGACCCAAAAGGCATCCCCTCTCCCCAAACCCAAACTCCCACCTTGGACTTCTCTCCTGTAACACCCTCTGTATCACTTCCTGTCCTTTCCTTCCTTCCAAATCAGTTATTGATGCCCATTTCCAGAAGATTAAGAGTGAGACACGGCCCAAGGCTCAGTTCATGGACATCACAGACCCCACTAGCTTATGCTGATCCACCCCAACCTCTGAGACGCTTTCCATTAAAGTTGGGATGGCTAACACAGCCATCTTCCTGCTAACTTCTTCAACATGGCTACAGTTTCCCCCAGGAACTCCTACTTGCTAGTTCCCTTTAACCTAATTTCCTCAAAGCTCACCTTTCATGCTCTCCCCTACCACATGCTATTTTTTCCTGTATTCTTTCACACTGCAGTGATAAACATAACAGGACATTCAGTTTAGATACAGGACAAGGCTCCTGATGAGATTTGACCACAAGCCTATGCAACAGTAAGCAAAATGCAGGTGTTTCATCATAAGGTTCAACGGCGTAATGCAAAGGGAAAGCTAGGTCTCTAGGACCTGGGGTTTTTTTTGTTTCTTAATATTCAAAAATACCTTTGTTTTCATTTATCCAAAGTATGAGTTATATAGAGGGATGCATTTAAGTTCCAGTAGGACTTAAAAATGTGGCACTTCTCTTACATGATGGAAAACAAGATTAAAACCAAAACAGATTCAGCACAGAGCCTTGCTCTAATCTGTTGCATTCCAAGAGATCTCTGAACTAACAAACCAGACTCTCACTTCCTCCCATGTGGCTGAACTCACTTTCATTGGTAACATGAGACTGGCCTCTAGAAATAAAGGCTTGGGCATTAACTCCTCATATCTGTTCTCTTATCTATTTTCTGAATGAGAAGAGTGCCAAATTCAGCAAGAATCACCTGGTTGCTATTGCAGAAACTCCTGTACAGTTGTTCTCCTCATTTTTTATGCTTAAGTTATATCACATATAGAACTGTTTTAGGGTAATACTATGTAAGACTATATCAAATTTGTTTCAAATTAGTTCAAGAAAACTAACATAGCTACATTTACTGTATCTGCCTGCAACAAAACAGGAAAATGTCAACTTAAAGAAAATACAACCTAAGAAAAGCTACATTCATACCATGGAACTGGGTCTTAGTTTTAATTTCAGTCTAAACTGAAAAACCTAACTAGTGATTTGACTCTTCTGAGTCTCCCTCTCCTAACACCTAATTTTGAAACATTTTGCACTTCTGGAAGTGTTCAGTAATTTACCAAATTTGCCTCACAGTAAAAATAAGGAAGCAAATATAGAAATAAATAAATTTTAATTTTAAAAAATGAGTAGAACACCATGCATTCCAAAATACTTAACATGCCATCACAAAATAAGTGGGAAAATTATTTCTCTTTGAGTCACAGTTTCTCTTGAGTTACAGATTATAAACAACATCTAAGTTCCCATTACACAAATCTATAAGTGTACCACGGAGCATTCAATAACCTGGAAGATATAAAATAACCCCAGACCATTCACCAATCCCATGATAAATACTACTGCTGTTAATTATTTTCCGATTCTAGCTGTACAGCCTTCAAAATAAAATGTGTTAATATTCCTTTACATTTTTTGAATATTTTAAAGCCTAAATGAAATAGAGAACAACAATTTTTTCACTTCAGCAGGAATAAAACATTAGAGCTGATTTTCAAAGTGACTGATAACCATAAGTTTAATACATGAGACAGCAGAGAGAACTTTTGCCATATACATAGCTTTTATCTCACATTCATTACATAAATTGCAAAGAACAGAACAATAAAGCGTCATGCACAAGTTTTCAGCATGAGTTTTTAGCTACTGTTCATGCATAAAGATGAGAGGAGGCCAAAAAAATAGCATTCCAATCTTTCAAGTTTTTTATAAAACTTACCCTTGCTCATCAGAAAGCTTTTGAAACAGTCTGAGAAATCAGAAACCAAAAAAAAGAGATTCAGTGTCTAGATATTGATAACAACATTAACACCATTAGTAGACCAGTACTCTCACTAAGTGATGGGGAAACTGAAAGCTTGGGAACCAGCCAGCATGGAAAAGCACATCAGGAATTGGACACCAGTCAAAAAACACACCAGGACTTGCATGATGGGCAAAGTTGGGCAGAACTGTCAGAATAAGGCTGCCTGCAAGTTTCCAACACTTTTCATTTAGCAATGCTGCACAAATAGAGCCTTGTGTTATTTCTGCACCACTTACTCATTCCAGTGCTGCTGAACAGCATGATGCTCAAAAGAGACTTATTTCAAGAAAATAAAATTATTGCCAGCTTGAGTCCCAACAAAAGTGAGGCTTACAGAGGTTGTTCTCTTGTTACTTCAACCATTTCTGATACTAACTGAAAGTAATACTTGATGTGTATCAGAATAAAAGACCCTAATAGAAATTTAGCATATTAATCCCTGAATGCACTTAATCCAGGGCAATTCAAGAGGATTTTTAGTGTTCTTGAATACGAGTATTTTATAGTATACCTATTTAATTCTACTGAATTAATTTTTAAAACATGCAATATTTCCAAGCACTTTAGAAATATTTCTCAGTGAAGCTTGAAAATTGTTAACAGCATTAAGCTTAAAAATTAAATGCAGCAACATCAAAATATCAACTGGAACACAGAAGTGTCTTAGTCACAAAATAATGATGCACAGCTGGGAGATCTGCAACTTGCAATGCCGTATTTTCAGAGCTAAGTAAACATTTAGAACCCCAGTAAATACAAATTCAAAGGAGAGATAGGAAGTACTTAAGAAACAGTATTCAGTCAGACAAGAAAAATTTTGAGGCTAACAGGAAAGAATTGGGGGAAAGAATGAATCAAGACTATATGAAAGTAGGAGAATAGTATTGGCAGAATAAGATATGCCATGGTGGACTTAATATTACACAGACACACAGATTGCATGCACCATGACTTTGGGCAGGCAAAACACTTTTTTTTTTTTTTTTCCACTTCATCTAATCATCTCAGAACTGTGGTAGGACAGTTTACAAGCATTTTTAAACTTAGGTGCAAGCAAGAATATCAGAATGCCCATTTCCAGAATTTGTCTTTAAAGCATTCATGTGTTTCAGAAATGTTTTTATGTATTATCTTGCAGAATAGAAGACAATATTTCTAGCCTCCATAGTCTTTTGAATAATCACTATTCCTGTTCAACCATGGAAAGAAATTTCTGCATAAGTTTCTTATTGAGCCTGAGGGAATGATAGCATATTTTCTCCAAAATGGCAGCCTAAAACTAGAAAACTTTATAATCTTTTGTTGAAAATATGGTATTGCAGTCATGAGCTTCTATTCAAAGCAAATGAAAAGCTTGTTCGAGGACGACACGAACAAATAGACTGGCACTCTACGAATGGTTCAGCACAGGATGATGCTTTTCTGAATGGGAAGGGTTCAAGTGCACTCATTCTGTGCAGGACACAACCTGACCTCTCCACCATCTGCCGTTTCTTGTGTCTAACTTTGCTGGCCTCCCTGATTGCTTCCCACTTCTTCCAGTCTTCTTCACTGCATGGACCTGGGATAAAATTTACTGGCTGGACGTTGCTTCCCACTTTCCAAGATTCAATCTTGCGGGTCAGCATATCGTCCTTCTTATGGTGTAAAGATGGCGACAGCACTCTGCCATTGCTCTTCCTTTCCTCTGGTATCGCATTTTTTTCAAGTAAACATAGAAATTTGGACCGTATCTCTTCTGGAAGACTCCACGGATCAGGAAACAGTGCTGGGTGATACTTGTCGGGAGCACCTGATAAAGGCACCTCTTTTTTTTGAGAGAGGACTTTACGAAAAATCATGTCATCCTTTTCCAAATCTGGAAGCACAGTTTGGCCCTCTCTGGGTTGCAGAATTATCTCACCCTCTAGAGGAGGCTCCTGCTCAGAGAATTTCTTTAAATACCGGGGGTCTTGAAGAACAACTTGATTCACATGGAAAGCCCCAGTTTTCCGAACAAACAAATCATCATTTTCCAAATCTGGATATAGATATCCATTCTCCTCATCTCCTTGCTTGCCTCCTGGTATAAAGGAAACATTCTTTCTACATTTTATGAGCCTAGGGCCAGAAGTGGGATCAATTCTGGTCTCCATTTCAGAAGACACGTAGTCAGTGTATTTTTGCAGGGCCTGAAGTAACGAAAACTGACTGAAGCATATAAAACAAAAGGAGGGAAGTAAAAATATCATTAACTGGCAAGAGACAAGCAGATCACAACGTATTGCAATATACATTTGGTTTAGACTTGCAGCATCCCAAGCAGAATGACGACACCACTTGGCATTCACCACCACTGACTGTAGCGCAGCACACGCCAACCAACGCAAAGGAATCCCGGCATCCTAACCTGCTCAGAAACATCACACTTACATGCTCACACACCAAGCCAGTAACCCTATGCAGCATGTTACACTTTCACATTTACATGTTTCAGAAGGCCAGCAACTTATGGCTACATTAAAAGAGAAAAAAACCCCAAACCCAACAAACCAGCAAAATAGTAATAACCAAAAAAGCATGGCATCACGGGACACGGTTTAATTTCATTTAGCTGTTGCATATCCAGCCATCTCTTTTTGATGCACCAAGAGAATAGCTCATGCAGCAGTATCAACCTGGGCTGATCAGGAGACTCCAAGATTTTTCCTTCTGCAATCTGTGACAATGACCTTCCCACATATTCAGCAGTTGGCTTATAATTCTGATCCCTTCTGCAGCTACTGTTCCAGTCAAAACTTGGTCTTGGTTGATTAGCAACAATAGTATAGCTTTGTTTGTAAGCAAATTCCTCATCTTCAGAATCTGATCTCTTTCTACTGTGCAGCAGCAGAAAGAATGAGCAGAGGAGAAAGAAAAAAAAACCATGAAATGTATACTCACTGAGTAAAATGCACAGTGGCAACAGTGCAACAGGTGCAACAGTATAACAAAAATACTTCAATTATTTTTAAAAAAAGGAAAAAAAAGAAAAAATAAAACATATCCTGTTGCTACACTGGCAGTCAAAATTTAAAAGTTCTGAGTCATAGAACTACGCTTTATTTAAGTGTTGCACACAGGAGAGAAACAGGCATGCATGAAAACGCACCTGAACCCTTGAATCTCTTTATACCAGGGTTTGAAAGAGGATTTCTTGATATTTTTCCATAGCAATTCCTCCTCTGGAGTCCAAAACTTAGGAAGAAATTTGTCAAAAGCAACAACTGTATTTGGCGCTGAAGAACTTAGCTTGCGAATATAGAGATCATCTTTTTCAATGTTTGGGATGCCTACTTCTTCCTCGTCCTCATCACAATACCCAGATAATTGTGAAGGACTGTTAACTCTTGGTTTGTTTTCGCCTTTAGTATCCAATTGCCTCTGCCTCCTCTGGTTACTGTTCAAAATATCCAATCAGTTAAGATATTTTAGGAGCAACTTGACATAAGCAATGCAAAAAGACATGCTTTTTGGCTCAGGAGCTCAGCCTTGTGAATGAAGCATATTACTTCTCAATTTCAGCACTGCAGCACCAGAAACAATAAAATAGATTAAATAAAAAAAATTTTAAAAGAAGTTAAATGGTTATATCAGCATCCTGTCTCCACTGAGAAAACCACAAAATTTGACAGAAAAAGCATATCAAATTATCAGCTGTGTTAAAATGCCGATTAGAAGACTAACTTTATGGAGTTATTTAAGGGCTGCGATTTAGGTAATGCAACAGTTACTGGATCTTGGATTAGTATCTCTGACCTCAGTGGTTCAAGCATTGCAGCTAGTGGACCAGCTGGACAACTTTCTCGCGAGCAAGATTTAGGAGAGTCATTGTGTAACATGAAATGATGTCCAGGTGCAGCAGAGCTTACAGGGCTCTTTTTGACTAGAAATCTACGATTTGCTAAGTCATCCAAAACAACGTCGGGCAGCCTTCTTTCATCTTCTGAATCAGAGCCACTGTCATACTCATAGATGATCTGGAGGGAAGCTGGATTTGTGAGCCCACACACTGCTCTGCTATTTTTGCAGGAAGCTACAGGATTCGTTTCACGTCCACTGAGGTTGACCGAGACAGGAATAGAATGGAGACAGTGAAGGCATGAAGGCAATGGTGAAACTCAAGAACTGCCCACTAATCTCATCTGTATGTATCAAGAAGCCAGACAGCTGAAATTCATCACTATATTTTGGAAGCTTTAACAATCAGTCAAAACCGTAGGTCTATCTCTCACGAACTTGCATTTAAGAGCATTTAAATACATCTGGAGTCTGGCCAGCTTCAAAACATTACTCAAACATCAAGAAACAATGTAAAAAACCAAAACCAAAAACCAAACCACACAACCACACCAAAATGTCTCCCTTGATAAAACATGGAAAATCAAATACTTTACTTTTTATTGCAGCAAGAGCAGCTTTTCTTAAGCTAATAAAGAAGTAACTTATTTTAAAACTTCTACATCAAAGCCCACTTTACTGAGACCATACATCAGTACCTTGAAAACGCTCCATCTGACTCGGTAAAAACAGGACTTGCCCAGCTCCTCCTGTTGTCCTCATTCTTCTCTGTCCTCTTCTTCCTTAAAGGTGCTGGCACATATGCTGTCTGCTTGTTTTTGTTGGGTAAGAAACGGTTGAAGTCAGTGGTAGGTTTTGGTTCAATCACCGAAATCCTGCGGTAAGACCTGTCATCTTTATGGGAGTCATGCATTTTGGAAGGCAGTTCTGAGTCTATGTCACTGTCGCAACCTTGGAATAAAGTGGAAATAAAAAGGAAAGACACAAACATCATTCTCTAGACATGTGCTTGTAGCTAAAACTTGGATCAAAGTCTTCTAAAATCAATTTATCTCTGTATTTTAGATGTTTCAGCTGAAAATTTGCTGATCTACTGACAGGACAGTAGGAGAAGTATTTTTAGAAGTCTGTGGCAAAGCTGTGATAAGATCCATTAAACTCAATTTGGTTTGCATGATCCTCCTGCATTTGTTCCATTCTTTCATTATCACTGCTCCCTGCAGGAAACAAAGTGCTGGCCTCCAGACTAAAGACAAAAAACAGCACAGAAATTTTTTAATTAAATAGTATCCACAAGATAAATTTACTAACAAAGACAAATAAATAGCAAATAATATAGCATTGTGCTCATTTCACCAGATTAAAATCCAGTAGAAGCCCAGGGTACATTGCGTATGTAATGTAGCTAAATGTTGCCTTGCACAGATCACCAATGCTCCATGGAGCCTCTGCTCAATGATTTTGTTACTCACATGAAACAAAACCCAACACCTTATAATTTGTGTGTCTTCAGGCTACAAGTTGGCATTGAACTTTAAAACCAGCAGAGAAACACAGGCTAGAGTGCTGCTTTAGGGATCCAGTGTCACTATCTTCTTGTTACCTTTATTTTCATGAAAAACTATTAAAAGTAACAAATACTATTCAGTATTTAACCTAGGTGGGAAAAACCTTATTGAATATTCACAAATGAAGTAAAGACATAGCAGTTTGACACAGTCGCCCTAAGAACACGGCAAGCGACTTGTGCAACTGGTGAATTTTAGGTAATTCCATCCAGATCTAATTTCTAGCAATTTCCCTTACAGAACTCTGGGAAAATACCCTGGACATACACACACCCCCTAATGTGTCAGTGAGAGCAAGAGTTTCAGCAACCCCTCCAAGGAAGAACTGTGCGAGCAATGCTTTTTTCCTACCAACTGTCAGAGGTGAATATTTGCTTAAGCAAAATGCCACTGCAGCAGTTACACAACTAGAACTGACTTTAAGTACTGGGCATCCGAGTACCAGGTCCATACATTGTCTTATCCCACACTCATAAGATACATGTCAACAAAATATTTTGGAGAGGAAAACATACCTTCACTGCCACCTTTCAAGGTTATATCTGATGAAAAGCTCGTGCAGGACCTTGAACCAAGAGAGTCCAAGCTATCAAAGGAATCGTCTCTTTTATGAGTAACTGAAGATGGGAAAGGCTCTCCCCGGTCAACGTACCAAATATCGCCGTACCCACTATCTCTGCCACTTCTGCTTGGCTGGCTGGACTCTTCGAGTGCCTACAAGAGTCACTTTTAAAAGGTCTTTTCCAATAATTTAGGGTGCAAATGCTACTTGTGACCATTTTGAATTCACAAACAAACTTCAGCAAAGACTAATGCAAAACCCTAAAAACACATACACAACAGCACATATAACAGCTTGAAGAGGAGACTTGGCAAAAGGTCTTAAATTTCTTTCATTTCAGTCAAAGAGGCCTGAGATAGGGCTCTTCCCAATCTACCACATCAATTAGAGCAGATGTATTCTGAAATTCATATGGTTTGCAGGAGAACTAAGCTAAAAATCATTCCTTTCCTATGGAACTTGATAGCAAGCAGAACAAATTACTGTGTTCTCCAAACTAAGAAAATTAAATCCTCAAGAGACTGTTTACAATTGCTGCTGCATAACAAATTATAAACTTCAGTCTGTTTATTTAGTTTCCTTTTTTGGATTCCTTACCTTACTCAATGCTTGCCCTAATAACTTCTCAAATGCTTTAAGATTGAGGTATGGACCATTATAATCAGGGTCACTTTGAGCTTTCCTCCCAAGCCAGTACAATGTAATCAAAACCTAAAAACAAACAGAAAAAAAAATCCCTGAATACAAACTTAATTACTTTCCTCTCATGCCATGTGCCAGTGTAAAAGAATCTCAGCATGCTGTTAGAAATGTTTTTACAATGCACTGCAAAATCTTGCACACAGTATTAGCCATGATTGCCACCAAAACAAATTAAAGAGTGTCACGATGCATCTCATATACCTCAAGCAAGCAGATACAAGTACTGTTTTCTATTATTACAATGATTTGGGAAAGTAAGTTGCACATACAGATCATTGTAAAGTGGCACTAATTTGCATCAGACAAATCAACAGTTGAAAAGAAAGGTAAATAGGATAGTACCATAAACAGAAGCATTTAAAAATAATTAATCACAATTAATGTGCAACTCTCTTACATTTTTCACTCTTCTGTTGGTCTCCTCTGGTCTGAAGCAGGGCAGAGAATGAGAAAAAGAGAAGAAAACAAAATGGTTTAAAATTGCTGGCTTAAAATTCAATTATTATTCAAGGCATAAAAAGTTTCAAGACCAATTATCAGTCAATATAAAATATGCAACTATGACTGCTCCAAAAGAAATAAGAAGCATTCCACTTTAAATACAGTCATAACTCTGTACTATTTCAATTGTTATATGTAAAATGAGAAGCTAGCCAATCTATTACAGTTTCTGTTCTGAGAGGTACACAGGAAGGTTCTAGGCATTTTTAATTAGCTCTCCTTTAGTTACCAACAAAATAGAAGTAGAAAACAAGCTGTTGACTTTGGGAAATATAGCCTCTATTAGTCAGGGAGATCACAGATTCATAGAATGGTTTGGGTTGGAAGGGCCCTTAAAGATCACCCACTTCCAATCCCTCTGACATGGGCAGGGATACCTTCCACTAGACCATACTGCTGAAAGCCCCATCCAACCTGGATTTGGAACCCTTAGAGGGATGGGGCATCCACCACTCGGTCTGGACAATCCACGCCAGTGCCTCCCCACCCTCAGAGTAGAGAATTTCTTCCCATTAGTCAATATAAACTCACCCTGCGTGTTCAGTCATTCCCCCTTGGTCCTAGCACTACATATCCCTGTAAAAAGTCCCTCTCAAGGTTTCCTTAGGCTCACTTTAGCTGCTGGAAGGCTGCTACAAGGTCTCCCTTGAGCCTTCTCTTTTCCAGCCCGAACGCCCTCAGATTGTCAATTTCATATGAAAGGAATTGTAACTTTTCCCCCAATTGTATTGTTTTCTAAAGTATTTGCCTTAGACAATGGAAAGCACTTTAGCCAAGAGTAAACTTTTCAGACCAAAAAATGAGAAACTGAAACTGGGACATCTGGAGAGAGATGATGTAGGGCTGAAAAGATGGGTTTGGGTTCTTTTATACAAATACATGCTTTTCAAAAAATATTAAATACATATGCAATCACTAAGATTAGGGAACATTTATATATATATTCCCAGTCTGTAGCACACCTTGGAAGTGTACCAATGGACACTCCTGTTCTCCTGTCACTCATTTTAAGAGCAAAAAGAAGAAACTTCTCAAACGGAAGGCTCCAAAAGCCTCTTAGTCCCCAGGTGTAAATACTCAGGGCTGGACTGCAGACAGTGGTTGAACAACATTGCTGCATGCAGTGGCAGCAGTTATGGAAGAGCAAATGGCTTAAATACACCCAAACAACTCTTCACCTACCCCAGATGTTGGTTTGGAGCTGGTTCAGCTACAAACTTCACACACAGCACAGCAAAGGGGTTCAAACAGAAAAGCAGAGTCTTCACATACAGTAGCAGAAAAACCTGTTCAGAACTCCTTAACATGCCTGACCAATAATGTGTCAAGGTATACTTATCCCATTTCTGTCTGTCTAGAAACACACTAGCCAAAGGTTACAGGAAAAAAAGGAGAATAAACCATTACGGAAACTGTTAGGAGTTAGTGTAATGAGGACAGGGCTTGGTCACTCTTCACGGAAATGGAATAGTCAATGAGACGTGACAACCACAGGGACACAGACCGTCCCTTCCCTCCTCCTCCTTCTTCTTATTTTGAGAGCACCCGTTCCCACTCAGTGGCTCTAATTGCCTTGCCCATCCCCAGATCATAAAGAAATCAGGCTATCAGGAACACAAAGTCCTGAGCTGGGTCTGACCTCCACAGTCCTTGCCTGAAGCTTCCTTAGTATCTCATGCCCGAGATGCTTGTGGCTTTGTAGCCAGTGACCTCTTTCACACCGATAAGGAAGAACCCTCCTCCTTTAATGTGAAATATTTACACTTTTTTGTTTGTTCTTTAAATCCTTTAAATCCCTCCCAAAATCCATTGCTATTCGTTGTTCACTCAAGACTATTTTTGAAGAAAACAAAATCGCCAGTATCCATGATGCAGGGCACACCATAGCTGTGACCTAAAGTGCTACTAGAGACAGGTTGATTTCCCAAGCAGAGAACAGAAAACTTTTCTTACATCAACATTACACTTCTCATACCCAGTGGAGAGCATTTTAAAGGTTAGCATTCTTTACCCTCAGTGCCTTTTGTTACCAGAATTTCTGCTTTTGTTTGCAATTACAAAAGCAGAGACCCTTGCTAAGGATGCCCCAAAGTTTGCTCCCAAACTTGAGCAGCCCAGTGAGGAGTGGAAAACTCTGCCCTTAGCTGGCAGGAGCATGTATCCAAAAGGCTGCCAGCCTTCAAGTAGGCCAAAGCTACAAGACTGAACATAATGATATCCACTTCTGCTTTCCTTGAGTTCTCTGGGATAATTTCAGTCAACCATTTTGCAACAGGAGCGATATTTATTTGTCTTTATATTTCAATAAAATTTTCTTACTGAAATAACTATAAATACACTAGGCCTGTGTATTTGGACTAAAACCAAAACAAAACTTAGGTCATTCAGGTAAACAAGACAGCCTGAGACCAAAAATGCAGGCAGGGAGATATTTCACGGACTTGAAAGAGAGACCCTGCTTCATTCATGTTTACTCTGCTAACAATAGAAGCAAGCAAACAAGTTGTTTACTTTTCATTCATAGTGTTTCTTCATTTGCATTACTATTTTCCTTCTCTGAACTGCAGCTATTGGTTTCGAAACCTTTTCAACAACTTGTCACAGTAGACAGCCTGAGCAGAAGAGGAGAGGAAAAAAATCCAAGAAAAACCCTGTTGATCTAGAACACTGTTCTTCATTTCTACATGTGTGTATTAATTATTTGATGGTGCTTAACCAAGGAAAAGGATGATTCTGAGTGATGAATGTACTGTCCTATAATCTGTGTTAAATGATAGGTATATAATTTTTTTTTGTCAAAAAAATCCTGATTAAAGAAGCAAGGCTGTTACCTAACTGGAAAGTCTTAAAATTAATTTCTGACCTACAAATTTCACAGTTACATCTTCTCTGAGACACGCAACTTGCAGAAGACGTAGTTTGGATCTGCTTGCTAACATTCTCTGTGTGAAATAAGAGCCTTTAAAGCCTTTATATGTACAATCTGTCCGAGCTCATCTGTGTTTAATTGCACATGCAATTGCCTATTTCCCTTCCAGGATACTCAATTTAAAATATATATTGTGTAAGTACTTATTGGTTAGAAGTGTGCTACAAACTGAAGAGCTTTTAGGATGAATTAATTTTCCCTGTAAGTATCAAAACCGAAAAAATAAGGCTTTTAACACAATTGCAGTAAATGAAAACACAAAATGGAATCATTTCAGTACACGGAAATTCTTCATGAGGTGTTATAAAAATAACATAACTACTGTGCAATCTATGCAAATAATTCATCTAGGGTCTTGTGTATAACTCTGAACAATTATGGTTCATAGGAGGGGACAAGATGGAGTCACCAGCCTCCAGCATAGCAAATTCTTTGCTGCTGTTAGAGTAGGCATGACCCTACAACTCTTCTGACAAACTGTTACCTAACAGCAAGCTCCTGCTCTCACCTCCAACTCCCCTTTGCAATCCTGGCTCTAAATACACAGGGCTTCAACACCCAGTTTCTCACACTATATTTAAATAAACTATTTAGAAGATGGAGTACAAGAACTTCAGCAATGTAGTTTTTAAGCTTTTCAAACACTCTGGGACACTTATAGCCTTATTTTAAACATAAGCCTATAGCACTGAAGTGCACACACAACTGATTGCGGAGACATTTCTCATACAACAGCTAACTTAGGAACTGATGGGGTAGCTCACTTGCTAAAGTATCTTTGTCAATGCAAATAAATGTCAATACTACATTTGGTTACTGTGAAAGTCTGCTTTTTCCTGTTTTCATTCAAAGATGTCATAGAGCCCAGTGGATGCTAATCATATTCTTTATGAATATTGGTGTAATCCAATTTCTGGTTCGAATAGGTGAATACCTTTGTACTCAAAGTTTTATGTGGGCTGCAGCTTTGCCCACGAGGGCACAGCCAAGGCTGCATCTTAAAACGAATCTGCTGAAATAATTCAGTTCCTCCTCACATGACAATGCAACACTATTTACTAAATCACTTTGTGTATTTTTAAACATTAAGTTCTCTGTCTTCCCACAGGTTTTTTTTTAATCTCCTTTTGTTAACAATACAACTTTGCTAAAGACGCCTGAACTAAGCAAAGAAAGCTGCTAAGTATAGCAGTTAAGATCTTACTGGAAAAATTTATTGTAAATACTTTGTCTGCTCTTGCCACAATCTCAGCATTTAAGCATTCATTCTGAAGCTCAAAAAAACTCCAACACCAATCTGTCTATCTTAACCTCAATATCAAATTCCAGCTAACAAAGAGGTCTCAAAATTGTAAAAGTAGAATCCTGATTCACAAAGCATGAACCTTAAATGTTGGCAGCAGTATTAATAAAAGTTTACAGACAACTTCAAGATTAGCCAGTCTGGAAAAGATCTCTAAAGTCTAAAGGCCACGAGACAACAACAACAACACGTGGGGGATATTATAACAGTAATTGTGAAGCATAATCGCATAAATCTGACTTGAACACTGATGAAAAAAGATGTGGAATAACCACCTGTGGAGAAATAATGCCTTCTGTATAAATCATCTCATCTATGTCAATCCTTGGGCAAACAGAAGAAAGACAAATGGGACAGGAATAGCTCTCACTTGTTGGTGTGTGATATGCTTAGAGACAAAACACCTCTGTTACATTTGAACACAACACATATTGACAAACATCGCTTCCAGACTGACATGTTTCTCCAACAAAGACCACTCTACAAGAATAAAGCAAAGTGACATGGCAGATCAGAACAAGGCTGAGCCACAGCTCAAGGAATTTATTCTCAGCTCCACTGTTTGCTCAAGGTTAAACAGCAGAATTAGTCACCAAGGCCCTAGCCTGACAATACAAAGGCTTTGGCAGCAGCTCCAGCTTAAGGATTTCCTGGTCCCCCTCTCTCTTCCAGCCACTCCTGTTTGCTGCCCCCGT